CTTGTTGTTACTGTGTTTGGCATATCGACTCGAGTTCGTGGGAGATGGTATAGTAGGTAAAGAACTTGCCTTGTATTTGTGTACCTGACCCCAAAATTTGATCCTTTACATCCCATATGGTCCCCGGAACAGCACCAGAAGTGATCCCCAAGTGCAGAACAAGGACTAAGTCCTGAACTGAGCATCGCCAAGTGTGTCCCCCAAAACAAAACAAAGCAAAACTAAACAAACCAACAGTAGCATTCAACTTTCCAAATGATTCCAATGGTCTAGCAGATATAAAGAGTATTTTGTTATGTGTCACTGAGGATTAGGGATGACGTTCTTTGATACTTTTCCTCCATCCTTTTCTTCAAAATAAGTTCCTGCCCAAGAGTGTCTGCTTATTGATAGCAGACCAGATTATTACCAAGACTGACAGTAATGATTTAAATCTGTTAGTCGATTACTTCCAAACATGATGGCCTAATTTATCTCAGAATCTCCAGTTACTAAACATGGCTTGAAAACTGTCTAAAAGTCCAACAAGTATTCTGGAGGGGAAATTTCAAATCTCCCATCATGAACTCAACAAATATTAGCACAATGTAATCTAAGCACTCACTTGCTCACACCAACCGAAAAACACTTGCATATGTTCAAGAGTTACTCCTGACTCACTGGCAAGTTATTTATTCCTGGCAAGCTTGAGGGATAATATCGGATGCTAGAGGTTGAACCCAGGTCAGCTTTGTACAAGGGAAATGCCCGACTAGCTGTACTATTGTTCTGGTCCATCTTTTTTAATTTTGGGGAGGTCACACCCAGCAATGCTCAGGGGTTACTTTTGGCTCTGCATTCAGCAATTACTCCTGGTGGTACATGAGGAACTATACGGGATGCCAGGAATTGAACTCTGATCGACTGTGTGCAAGGCAAAAGCCCTTCCAACTATACTATCACTCCAGCCCCTATTTTATTTTTTATTGAATCACCACAGCGTATACAGTTAAAAAGTTGTTCATGATTGAGTTTCCGGGAGTATCTCGCCCGCACGGCAGAGCCTGGCAAGCTACCCATGACGTACTGATATGCCAAACACATTAACAACAAAAGTCTCCAATGGAGATGTTACTGGGCCCCCTCGAGCAAATTGATGAACAACGGGAGGACCGTGACTGTGACCATGATTGAGTTTCAGTCATACTATATTCCAACACCCGTCTAGCCCATCTCTTAAGAAATAAGAGCCTTGTTATCTGAAGTATTTGGATCTCTATTCAATATTTTATTGCACATCCCTCCTCAGAACAAAATAATCCATTTAACAGCATGTGTTCTCTTCTGAGAAAGCTAGGAGACACAGGAGCCATCGACCCCTCCGTCCCCACTCCCACACCGAAACCTCAGCTTAGGGACTGCTTTGGTGTCTAGAAGTCTGTAAGTCTGGGCATCTGCCTTTCATCATCTCATCGCAGTCTCTCCTGGCCTCTGGCTCAGGTGGAAAGGCAGGATTCTCACAACAAAGCCTTACAACTCCATTCTGTCGACATATGTGAAACCCTGTGTTTTTCTTCAGCTGGTTGGTTTGTGGACAGCCACTACTCTGGAGCTCAACCAATTGCCTCACACCTGTTAGAAAACGCTCGGAAACTTGTAAATCACTTTTAAATATATTTTCTCAGTGGAAATAAAACAGATTGAGTAGCTCCCAATTTTCTAACATGTATGTCTCAGATTATCACACTCAGCTCCTGGGAGAGAACAAGGCAGAGTCTCCTACCCTATGCCTGACTGTCTCCACCAGGGCCCAACAGCTGAAGACCACGGGGGCCCAGCCAAGGCCATGCTGGGACCACTCTCCACACACTTGGATGAGCCTCACGCATAAAAGAACTGACAGAGGAACCCAGGTGTGTGGGACCCGAGGCTGAGATCTCCAAGCCTGCACAGTTTGGGACTGGACCTGCCAGTAACTAGACAGTTACACCCACCAACTGCCGTGTAACTCCAACAACGGCCAGGATCCAGAGATTATCACACTCAGCTCGCGGCCGCGCGACATCTTATCATCTCATTCCTAATTTGGTCAAACTGGCAGGCTACCAAATGTAACCTGCCCACACGGCAGAGTCTGGCAAACTCCCCGTGGTATACCCAATATGCCAAATACCAGTAACAATGATGGGTCTCATTCTCCTAACCCTGAAAGAGCCTTGAATATGGCACTTTTTAAAAAAAATCTCAGGGCTAGGACGAAGAAGACGTTACTGGCACCTGCTCGAGGCAATCGACGAACAACAGGGTGGTCGTGATCGTGATCGTGATGTCTCAGCTCAGATAACCAACAGACCATTTGAGATTAATGAATGAAAAACTCTCATGTAAAAGTTCAAAGAAAAGGAGATAATAGTGAACTGCTTTGCTTATCCCTGGGAGCTTCCATATATATATAATTAATATATATATATGTGAGTCCTCTGTTACTTATGAATATATATGCATATGTATGGATATATCACTGTCACTGTATCACTGTCATCCCGTTCTTCATCGATTTGTTCAAGCAGGCACCAGTAACATCTCCATTTGTCCCTGTCGCATGCTAGTGTAGCCCGATGGTGTACTGGGGGCTCTTTCAGGGTTAGAGGAATGAAGACAGTCATTGTTACTGTTTTTGGTATATCGAATATACCATGAGTAGCTTGCCAGGCTCTGCCATGCAGGCGGAATACTCTCAGTAGCTTGCCGGGCTCTTCAAGAGAGATGGAGGTTTTTGGGGCAGCCTCTAATTGCCTTTACAGGTGTTCCCAGTCAGATTTGTTGTCTCCTGTCTGAACCCCATCAAATATGGTGTGATAGTTATGGAAAATGAGTAGGGAGTGTCTTATGATGTGTCCAGGAATATGCTTACTCATATGTGAGGCTCAGCCTGAGTGTGTGGAAAGCAGCCTGGAGCATGGTGGTGGTTGGGTTGTGGAGGCTGGTTGCTGGGGCTGGGTCCCTTGGGGGTAGGGAGGGATCTCACCTGCCCCCCTCTGCGGTGCCCTGAGTGAAAACAGCCTGGCATATAAGCCACTCCCCGCTGGCTGGCGCCAGATAATCTCCTCATAGGCCACCGTCCAGAACTCACAGCTGCTTCTCCCGGAAAGGAGCATAAAATGAGGCCCCCATAACCATATGGATATATATGAATTATATATACGCCATTTTGTTTTAATCACAAAAAGGCATATGCTGAAGCTCAAGACTATGTCTGTTGTATTAGCGCAGAAGTTCTTAAAACTGGCTGCAGGTTACAAATATCCAGGGTGCTTTAAAATTATTCCAACACTCAGGCTTCTCTCCATAGTGATTAAATCTGAATGTAGGGCTTAAGGTGTGGGGCTCAGTCCCCTACAGCTTTTAAAAACTTCCCACGAGATTTTAATGTGCAGCCAGTCTGCACTGCAGTAGCTAAGTCTTGCAAAATCTACTTTGCAAGGAACTTCCTTCTCTTATTTCTGCCAGTAGTTTTACAGCTGAAATCTGGAACTTAAAACAAAAATCGATAAGATCAAACACACATACCAAAATTACATGCACACATTTTTATTTATTTAACTTAGGTCCTGACCATTAGTCTATATATCCCAAAAACCGAGTGCCTTGGAAAACTTACATCTCTTCTTCAAATCTTTTAAAAAAAAAAAACAAGACTCTACAAAAACACACACAAAAGGTATTTCCTCATACAAAACACGCATACAAATTTGAATCACCTTCAGGAACCATAATCCAATAATATATTTAATAAGTAAAATTTCATTCATATATATATATATATACATATATATATATATATATATATATATATATATCTCCACCCTAAACTTCAATTAAGACCCGTGCCCTTAGTAAGAGCACTTACAGTTAGAAAGGTTTATCTAGCACTTTGAGGTAGCATATTCTGTAAAGTAACAGAAGTCACAGAGCTGTTCTGTGGACAGAAGAGAGTGAATTGTGTAACTGCTGCCAAGTCAGCCGGAACACACTTCCTACAATCTCCCCTGGCAATCCTGTCACTGCACTTAAGGCCTGTGAAGCAGCTGAGGAAGACAGAAAGGCCTTCTGAGGCTTCTTTTCCCCTTGTGAGGTGACATCTGGGTTTTCAGGCAGGCATAAGCCAACCTCCTACTACTGCGAGCAGCCTACACTAGCGGGAGAGGCCCGCTGGGAAGGGAAATAGGGCAGCATGGCACCTTTAAAGAAAATTGGTTCAAAACCTTCAGTAAGAGTGGCCAATTCCTCTAAATCTGGAAGGAGGCTCGTTTCTGGACCATTCTCTCCATAGTTCTCACCTTTTAAAGAGCCTTCCTGCTTTCCTCACCCCATAAGCACAACACTTGGTGCGGGGAGGTGGGGGGTGGTATCCTTAAGCTTTCAGCAATTTTCTTGGCAGGATGATGAGCAGGAAAACGTCATAATCCCACACGGAGAAACACCAACCAAATTGGCGGGTGTAGGAGTAACCCCAAGACAGACTTCCTTTGTGCAAACTGAAATGGCCCAAGTTTACAGTTGAAGAAAAAAAAAACGCCCACTTCTTAAAAAAAAAAAAAAAAGAAAGAAAAGAAAAAAAAATAAATAGTCAACTCAACTCTCGACCTTAAAGACAAATATCCAGGCAAAAAACGGCCAAGGATTGAAGCTGCGGAAAATGGTCTGAACAACCTCAGGCCTTGGGGTCGGTCAAAATTTTGCCCAATAGCCGCAGACTTACAGGATGTCTAGTCCCTGGAGTCCTCTGTTCCAATATACTTCCTGTTTGAATGATGAGCCCTCAGAAGGAAATCAATAAACAAATGAATCAAAATAGCACACGTCAGGGGCCAGAGATAGAGCACAGCCAATAAACAGCTGGCCCAGGTTCAATCCCTGGCATCCCATTGAGTCCCTCAAGCCCTGCAGAGCCAGGAGTAAACCCTGAGCATGTGTGGCCAAAAAAAAAAAACCAAAAAACCAAAAACATGTCCAGGCTAGACTAAGGGCATGTAGCTAGGCCTCAATCGTCCTTTGAAAAGGCAGCCCCAAGTCAGTGTCCGACCCAAAGCCCAAGAGAGAGCTGAGCATTTGACTTCAAGTACTCAAGGTGCTACAAGAGCTGCCCTTAGTCATGCTTCCCAACAGGGAGCCTTAGGGGCCCTGGGATATTCCAAGGGAGCCACAGGTGAAAATCTCATGAATGGGAGAAAGGGGGTAGTGTCTTCAAGCACAAGAGTAGGAAACCAATGGGTAGGTGGGGCCCCAGGAAGGAAACAAGGTTTGGACAGGAGCCATGGCGAGAAAGTTGAGAAACGCTCTTTAGATTCAGGCTGATTCAGACTCTCACTCCGCCAGCCGGTTCTGCACGAAGAGACACGCTGCATGTGGTCCCTACACAACCCGGGGGTGGAAGGGAGGAAGACCAGACAGACCAGCCTAACCGAAGCAAAGAAATTCTTTAACATTTTGTACAATGAGAAGGTGCATGAGCTGGCGTTCAAGCAATCCCTTGAAACTCTTTTCTCCTCCTTTCTGTACGAGACAGGAAAATGGTTCCCTTAGGTTAACAGTGTCATTTTTTTTTTAAATGCCATAAATTAAATAAGTTAGTTCACATTTTTCCCCCCAGCACTTAAGTTACAGCTAGTCCCTAATGTGCCTTTGTAGTTTGCTTTAACAGCTCCAGGTCTCTTCTTGGGACATTGCTGGTTCGGGGACAACCGTATTCATCCAGCTGCAATGGTATGAACTGGTCGAGCAGCCCAAGGCCCTGGCCGGCAGGACTGGTAAGTAGCTTAATCCACGATGGTTTAAAACTTCCACTGAATCCCAGAAATATGGTGCTCCCTGAGAAAAGAAGGAAAACGGTAGCTAGCTTTGGCTTTCAAGCAGGATAACGTGGGAGGTGAGAGAAACAAGGACAAGACAAAAACAAACATAAACAACACCTTTCCCTGCGTCAGTGCATGAGCTCTGCTCAGGCACCTCTTGCCCCAAATAACAAACCACATCCCAACACACTTCCTCTACCGCTGCCTCCTTACTTAGAAATGATCTTAATGACAGCCGCTCCAACAAACAGGCTCGGCCCCATGATCTGAGAGCTACATCCCACTGTCAAAACGCACCGCGCGTGGGGCCGGGTCTTGGAAGAATTTCAGAAAAGAACAAACCTTTGTTATAGAGATGAGCTGGTCTAGCTAATCCCAGAGGTACTAAAGAATCTGAAATATTCCAATGCTTTATTTCTCCTCTTGTGCTCAACAAAATGATTGACCTGTGAAAGTCAGAAAAAATCAGCAAATTTCAATAATTCAGCATGCATTATCTTCTTGAAGTGAATTACAGTACAGGTTAGGTTAAAAAAAAAAAAGCGGAACTCCAAATTAAACAAACCAGCAAACATGCTTTCTCATCCCTATTATTGTAAGTTTCCATTTCTCTGCCCTACCTAGAACTTTCTTTGCTGTCACCTGGGGTATTTAAACTAGGGAAAGCAACAATTCATTTATAATAACCTAGTCAATAGCTTGAGGCACAGGACTTTAATAAACGATTCTAACAGGAGAAGCTGGCTTTGTTTCCTTGGGATGATTTACTCATGCTCCATAATCTAGTAAAGAAATGAATGGATAAACACCAATTTTAAAAAGAAATAAAATAACAAAAAATCTGTTGGGAGGATCCTCCCAGGGTGGGACAAGCATGCTGAAAGTAGACTATAGACCAAACATGATTGACACTCAATGTCTCTTTTGCAAACCACAGCACCCAAAACAAGAGAGAGAACAGAGGGGAATGCCCTGCCACAGAGGCAGGGTGGGATGGGGGGGATGGAGGGTGGGAGGGATGCTGGGACCCCTGGTGGGGGAGGATGGGCACTGGTGGAGGGATGGGTACTTGATCATTGTATAACTGAAACCCAAGCACAAAAATCTGTAAGTCTATAACTGTACCTCATGGTGTTTCACTAATAAAAAAATAAATTTAAAAAAAACAGTAAAAAAAAAATTTGTCTCTATGGTTTGGTCTAAATTGCTCTTATCATGCAGCACATGACTTCAGACAGCTTTATGAAATCTGCCTTCTCCTGATCTCTCTCTTTATGTCTGCCAGTGTTAAACTGACTTAATTACAATGGCTTCATGGTTTATTTTGATATCTGATTAAAAGATGTCCCTGATACTTGATCATTGTATAACTGAAACCCAAACACGAAAGTTTGTAAGTCTACAACTGTACCTCATGGTGTCTCGATAATAATAAATAAATAAATAAATAAATAAATAAAAATTTAAAAAAAAAAAGATGTCCCTGATACTACTATAATTTGTATGAAAGGTATTTTGTTACTTTCCCACATTTATTCTTCCACACAAACTTCAGTCTCACCTGTCAAGTGCAACAGAGAGTGACCTAGTGGGACACTAACAGAAACACATTAAATTTATGTTTTAGTTTAGGAAGGGTGACATCTTTACAATATTAATATTTCCATCCAGAAATAGGAAGAGTTGCTTCTAGTTTTCAACTCTTTTTGTCTATCTTTTTTATTTATTTTCTTAATGTGAGTTTTGGCATTTCTTTTTTTTTTTATGTAGGAGTACTGCTATTTATTCAGCTACTGATCAGCTGATTCAATTGTGCATGAACTCCACCTTACTTTTTTTTTTCATTTTTTATAATTTTATTGGCATTTCTCTTTAAGATTCCTGAGTTTTATGCTGCCGAGGCTTTACAGTCATCATAAAACAGCTGGGACTCAATTCAGAGTCAAAACCAGAGGACTGGGGCCAGAGATATGGTACGGCAGGTAGGAGGCTTGCCTTGCACATGGCTGACCCGTGTGGATCCCTCTCCTAAAGTCCTCTCCTCAGGACCACCTCCTAAGGTCAATCTCCTGCTTCCCACCAGAAGTGATCCCTGAGCACTGATCAAGAAGTAAGTCCAAGTCCTGCTGGGTGTGAGCCTCAAACACAAACAAGCAAACAACCCCCAAGAGGTCTAACCATAGCAACTTGGAGGGTATAGATTTCTCCAAAAGACCAGGAGACCTTTAGTTCCAGAGATCAATTATAGCATTCCTCCCCCATACTCCCATTTACCCCCCAATGTATGAGGTATCTCTAGAAGCCGCTCCCAGCCATCCATAACATCTTCATAATTTTTTAAGATACAACATACATGTGGAAAAATGCTCCTAAAAGTAAAATACACTCGACTTTTGCTACAGAAAGATACCTAAATAAACAGCACCCAGATCAAAAGAAAGTACAGGAATAGCGTCTCAATGTCTTCCTGACAGCCCCTTTGCAGAAACAATCTAGTGACTTTTCACGACTGGTTTTAACTCTTAAGTCCTTGTGATATCCAGCAGGACTGCCGGGTTACCCTAAAGATTTGTGGGAAGTGTTATGTCTGAGGTTGTTTTCAAGCGGGGTTCAGTGTGCATGTGTTTTCAAATCTTTAAATCAACAGCAATGAAAACTGACACCTTGGAAAGGAATGCCTTACGGGTGTAAGAAACCAGGAGAGGTCATCTTTACACATGAAATAATGGCATTAAAATAATTGGTCTTACTTAGATTTGGTCCTGTGATACGTAAAGACATCGGGATCAGAGCAGCTCAAGATGATTAAAAAACCAGACAGTCCTTTCTTTGCACTCAGGGAAGCACTATTCCTCTTAGTTGCTACATGAAGGCCGGTTTATACAGCAACATCTGCAACATGGCCATGAGGGCGGGATGGAGCCTGATCGCATCTCTGCAGGCAGGGTCAGATGAACCCAGAAAGGATTAGCCTACCTGCCTCTTCTTCAGGGACCAACCAATAACTCTTGAAAGAGTGATCAGTGCTTCAAAGATCAACTTATTCTCTTGCTGTCATTCATAAGTGGCCCTGGTGACGATGCACTTGCTCCAGTCACAGTGCAATGATAGTCAGTGGTTAATCAGCAGGACAGAAAGTTGTAGAGATAAAACTGTCCATCAAATGACTCAAATGTATATTTTGTCCCCTTCAAGGTGAGACGACGAGTATAAATTAGTATCGTATCAGAGACTGAGCTTTTTAGAAAATCACTCGCAAACTCTTCTAGTACCCAAACTCTTGCTACTGCTCTGTGGTAGCTCTTCTCCGTAAGCAGCTGAAAGACCGCAAGAGCATCAAACTGAGATGAGTCAGGAAGGAATGACTCCCGGAGTGCAAGGGCAAGCACACACACCAAGTTCTATGTGAGCCAGGTGCCATTTGTAAGATGGGGCTTCCACATCACCTACCTCGGAGGGATGCCGGTTTTGAGATACTCTTCCAGCTGACTGACATCAGCCAGAGAGAAAACCTTCTTTTCCGTCAGCCGGAAGGGAACACTGCAGGCATCCACAACGAGGAGGAAGACACCAGCAGTTCGGAAGGGGAAGTCAGTGCCATTCAGCTGAGAACACACAAAAACATTGGCATCGACTGTCACTTCTACTTGTCCTTCTAGCTCCTTCCTTCCGTCTTCTAGAATTATGGATTATATGTCCAGGATTGAGACTGTGCATTCTACTTACAACTCTACCTGAAACTATGCCCATGTTCTCACAGACATGGCCTTGACTCATCTTCTTTGACTTGAGATGGTGCCTTGGAAAAAGGCTTGGAGGCCCAGTCCAGCCAAGGCTCACTCAGGGAACTCAGGTGTGTTGAAGTTTCCTTTCTCACACGAGTGGCCTCTCACGGGGGGACAAAGCTAACAGTCACCCAGTGAGGAACTATTCTGGGGCCATTCAGAAACCACCTTTATTGTTATATTAACTCAAAAAAAAAAGCACATATGGATGTTTCCAAAGAACATTAATTTAACACACAAGGAGTTATTTTGGGTTAGAATATGTAAAATTACAAACTAGGCTAAAATCCTCAAATGCACTTAACACCCACCTACACTTACTGGGGAAAATATTTCAATTTGATTTCTAATCACTACTGATTTCCCAGGAGCCAAAAGGCTCTTTAGGCTATGTTTAAATTGCTATAAAACAAGAAAAGTTCCATTTAATATTTGGGGAAACTAGAGGTGATCCTAGTTTTCAAAAAATAAGAATACCATACCAGGGACTGGAGAGAGAGCATAGAAGGCCCATGCATGTGTCTAGTCCAGGTTCAATTCCTCAGCATCACACATGGTCCCCTGAGCCCCAACAACAGTGATCTCTGAGCAAAGATCCAGGGACCTGTGTGAGGTCTGAGTAATATAAGATGTGGCCCAAAACACACAAAAAAGAAAAAAAAAATCTGAATAATAAAAATAGAGACAAACTTAAGAAAAGATACCCTTTGATACCTAAATCTTTGATATCCTCAATCTGTTCTTTGCAAAAATGAGTCTCCAAATCTTTTTGAATGGAAACACAAAACCCTTGTATAGTCAATGCCTTATCCTAGCAAGTCTAGTTGGGAAATTCATAGCACTGTCCTCTGTTGTTCAATCATTGATTTGCTCAAGCAGGCACCAGTAACGTCTCCAATGTGAGACTTGTTGTTATTGTTTTTGGCATATCAAATATGTCACAGGTAGCTTGCCAAACTTTGCTGTGTGGGCAGGATAGTCTTGGTAGCTTGCTGCTCTCTGAAAGGGGCGGAGGATACAAACCCGGGTTGACCTCGTGCAAGGCAAACGCCCTTCCAGCTGTGTTATCGCTCCAGCCCAGGAAATTAATGTAATTTAAAATTCATATTAAACATAAATATGACAAATAGGGTGTCTTACAACTTTCCTAGAGTGCTAGGTATTCAGCATTGAGTGATGGAATCAAACAACAGTTATAAATTGTGGGGCGTCATCTGCCTGAGATTTTGAGGCATGAAACAGTTTCTTTAATTACGTAGCAAGTAACCAAACAGCTGCTTCCTTTCTGCAGTGACTTTCACCAACTACCATACCAGCAGTCTGGGATCTGCTTCTCTCAGGTCACTGTGTTAAGATGCTGAGTTAACACACTTCATGCCATAAAACTATTTTATAAACAGCAAGTGAAGGAATGCCCACAAAGGACAACAGGCATAAGTATGTACTTGAGAAATATCTGAGCTACTTTTAAGTAGGGATATTCATTGTATTTGAATTTTTTTTTTTAATGATAGTTGTCCAAAGTAAGAATGAGATTACTTTGGACAACCTAGCAGGCTACCGAATGTGACCTGCCCACACGGCAGAGTCTGGCAAACTCCCCGTGGCGTACCCAATATGCCAAATACCAGTAACAATGATGGGTCTCATTCTCCTAACCCTGAAAGAGCCTTGAATATGAAAATTTTCATATTCAAATCAAATTTTCACTTTTTAAAATCTCAGGGCTAGGGAGAAGGAGACATTACTGGGGCCTGCTCGAGGCAATCGACAAACAACAGGATGATCATGATCTTGATCGTTAATGATAGTAAGATTTGACTCACTCAGAGAGCACATACTTCACAAAAAAGCCCTGGGTTGGAGCTGCAGCACTACAAAAGAAAATGGTGAAGACTGGGGCTGAAGCGACAGCATTAACAGGCAGGACATTTGCCTTCCACAAGGCCGACCAGGGTTCAATCCCTGTTACCCCATATGGTCCCATAAGCAACGCAGGAATAATTTCTGAGTGCAGAGCCAGGAGTAACCCCTGAGCATTGCCGGGTGTGACCCCTCAAAAAAGCCAATAAATAAATGAAGTTGAAAATGAAAAAGAAAATAGTGAAGGGGCTAGAGAGATATAGGGTGTTTTCCTTGCGTAAGGCGAAGGTAGGCTTTGATTTCCAGCACCCCATATGGTCCCTGGGTTCACCAGGAGTAATTCCTGTGCAGAGCCAGGAGTAATATGTAAGTAAGCTCTGAGCACCACCAGGTGTACCCCACACCCCCCACTACCCAATAAAAATAAAATAGTACAAATTATACCCTCTTACCAAAATTTAAATAATACAGTTGATTATAGGGAGAGGGTTGTACAGAAAATTCATATCAAGTCATCTTACTCAAATGGCACTTTATGCCTTTTAATTCTCATATCACCCTCAGATTCCTCCTCCCTGTTTTTTTAAAAAAAAGGAATACTCTGAACTGCAAGTTGTTGGGAAGTCTCATGTAGACTCTGGAGATGATCATGGCAATGACTCCACAATCTGCATGCAGTTTCTAATCATTGACTGCACACCTGAAAGATGGTTAAGAGGATGGAGTTCGCATTCCATGTATTTTACCACAGTAAGAAGACAGCGGGAAAGACTTCATTACATCTAAATATGTTTTGGTGATTATGCAATTATGGCAACTTTAAAAAAATTATTTAAATTTTTTTTATTATTATTACTATTTTGCTTTTTGGGTCACACCTGGCAATGCTCAGGGGCTACTCTTGGCTCTGTACTCAAGAATTACTCCTGGTGGTGCTCAGGGGACTACATCAGATGCTGGGAATCGAACCCAGGTCAGCTGCATTGACCCTTTCTCTCTCTCTTCTCTCTCTCTCCTCTTGGGATTTGCAATACAGAAACTAAGAGGTTCTCATGTTTGTTCCTTTACCTATTTTCAGCACACAGTTCTTATCCAGAGTGATCAATTTCCAACTATCTTTGACATAGTGGTCTCTTATGGCCACTTAGAACAAAAAATCTGGTGAGCCTTGGGCCAGATCCAAGACAGACATTAATAGGATGACCAGGTACCCTGCTATTGAAAGAATCTTAGGATGGCATGCAAGTCAGCCCAGTTTTAGAGAGGACACTGAGTCAATCTTGCATTCACTGGCCATTCTGACTGTTAGCTAACTCCAGAACGCGTTGACATGGAGGATCTGCTTGATACTTCCACTAAACCACTTAGGAAAGACAAGTAGCAATCTGCATCTTCACATTCCTCATTTGGGTAAGAAAAAGGGGAGCTGGGGGCCAGAGAGATAGCAGAGGGGATAAAGCACCTGCCTTGTACATGGCTGACCCTGGTTTGACCCTCCCACATATGGTCCCCTGAATCCCACCAAGAATGATCCCTGAACACAGAGCCAGGAGTAAGGCCAGAGCACCCCGGGGTATGGCCCCAAAACCAAAAAAGAAAGATGAGGGGAATTGGAAATCTCAAAAAAAAAAAAAGGTTAAGGAGATTTAAAACTCTCATTTCCCATATTGTCAATAACTAGGAATTTCCTTAAATTTCCAAACTAAGGTTTATCACAATTTTCTATATATTAATTGCCTTTATTCCTCTGCCCCTCTCGGAGAGCCTGGCAAGCTACCGAGATTATCTCGCCCACATGGCAAAGCCTGGCAAGCTCCCCATGACATACTCGATATGCCAAAAACAGTAACAAGTCTCACAATTTGTTGTGATACGTTACTGGTGCCCGCTTGAGCAAACTGATGAACAACAGGAAGACAGTGCTCCAGTGCTCCTTTTTAAATAAATGTGGCATTTCTCTTAAATTGCCTTCACATTTACTTAGAAACAATGAAGACGTTTATTTCTTTTCTAGACAGTGGCACTTAGCTGCTAAGTGTGGTGTGATGACACACATTTGAAGAGGTGAAACTTTATCTACCCTGAAACAGTCTTGTAACTCAAATGTTACACTTCAGTAAAAAGTAAATTGGAAAAAAAAAACCAATAATCATTAATCAATAACACTATGGGCAAATGGAAAGTAACATGAATACATTTTAACATCTGCCTACAAATAATCAGTCGATGCAATCAAGAGAAAAATTTAATGAAAGTAATCTGTCAAAAAAAAAAAGAAAGAAAACCCACACAGAAAAAATGTTTCAGGAGACATTTCTATCAAGAGATACCCCTAAGGTACTGCTTGTATTGATATTTGGACATTACTGCCATCAATAATCAAAATTTGAACACAAACAAGTTTCTCTTGCCAGAGGTAAACGCATCTCCCCAAAGTACAATGAAAGCCCCATCCCTGCCAGATGGTACTTACAGAGATAACAGATGGGTCCCCACGCTGAATCTCTGCTTTGTTAGGGGACTGGAACTGCACGGGGAGGTAGGTTTTATGAGGATCACTTGTAAACACCATCTAGACAGGGAAGAAGTTCCATGTTTCATTCAACTGCCTCCGCTTTCAAAACAAATCTCTCTCAGAATAAACTTTATTATAGCCATGTCAATGTTTTCCCCCCAATCTTATTCAGGAAGAACAAAAACAGCATGAACTTGTTTAGTATCTCATGAACTTGGAACTGTATCTTTTGACACAGTATTCATGTAAGAAATGAATTTTTCTACATTTTTGGAATCCCGGTTTCAAATAACTATTAAATGTTGATAAAAATCAGTCCCACAAAGACCAAACATGCTTTATATGTAAGTCTTAGTCAACAATGTTTGCAAAACCAGTCACAGACATTTGTGAAAGGTCCTTTTCAGACCTGCTGTGCTGAGTTGGAACTCAGTCACTCCAGGACTACAGCATGTGGATGATAAGGACTACCTGTTTTAACTCAAAGAGTTCAAGTACTTTACACACTCAGACCACTTATCAAAGGGGATACATTCTGAGAACTGTGTCCTTAGGGAACTTTGTTGTGGTGGGAGTGTAAGCATGCAGTGATTACACAAACGCAGATGGCACAGTGTTCTACACACTCAGACTATTCCTGTACAACCTACTGGTATCACTGTGACATCCTCAGTCCATTGTTGACAGAATGTCTTTAAGCAACATGTAACTGTAGTCGGTGAGACTCCATTTCCACTGATTCTGTGCTAACACTCGCCTTCCCACCCTGCTTCCCATCCTTTCAAGCCTCTTTCTTGCTGCAGTCTGTCCCCCGCCCCAAGAATTTCCTTCCCATCCTCCCCTCTACTTTTTCACTTTTACTCCCAGTCTCCAAGGCTCACCTCCTCTCTAGAGGCCATCCTCATTCACAAGCATTCTTCACTCCTATACAATTCGGCCTGGATATTTGAGTCTCAGCTTTGGGACAGAAATTACTGTAAAATTTCCTACTTATTCCAATATGCTTGGTTTGTTTTGGATATTCTCCTCAAATTTGTAAGTAACAGTGATATTCCCAGATACCTCAAACACTTTGTAACTGCACAAAGTCAGAAATCAAGCCCTATATTTTAAAATGCATCCCAGACTGAGGAGATAATGCAAAGGGTTGGAGGGTGTGCTTTGTACGTAAGGGGCCTGAGCTCATTCCCTGGTACTGCAGAGACCCCCCTGAGCACCATGGAGTATGGTCCCCACAGAAAAAAATTCTGACTAATGGTTCAAGCACAAAGAATAAAGAATGCTAAACACTAATGCATGAAATCATTTAGTAAGATAGGTCTGGAGCGATAGCACAGCGGTAGGGCGTTTGCCTTGCACGCAGCCAACATGGCCCACCCGAGTTCGATTCCTCCGCCCCTCTCGGAGAGCCTGGCAAGCTACCGAGAGTATCTTGCCCGCACGGCAGAGCCTGGCAAGCTCCCCGTGACGTATTCGATATGCCAGACACAGTAACAACAAGTCTCACGAAGGAGACGTTACTGGGCCCGCTCAAGCAAATTGATGAACAGGAGGAGAGAGAGAGAGAGAGAGAGAGAGAGAGAGAGAGAGAGAGAGAGAGAGAGGATAGGTCTAGAATGTTTTCAATGATCAAGTTGTTTCTTAAATTTAAGACTCATTAAAACTGCTAGAAATGATATAAAATTTTTGCAGTAAATGAAGGACCTTCCTAACAAATTTGGCTGATAACTAGGTTGGAAAATTTGTGTTCCCGCAGAGATTATCTTAAAATGTCACTATAACAATCAAGAGGGAAGGGGATGTGAGGGGAGGGGACAGAAGGGAAGCCAGGGAAGTGGAGGGAAGAGAAGGAAAACGTTTTTCTTTTTTACCTGCTGGGTCCCACAGCCCTGGCAGTGTCCCTGGAGCATAGACGGCATTGGCTTGGGTGCTGATGGCTTCTTGTAATACTGCGGATATGCTCTGGCCATGCAGTTACTGATTTCTTTTGAGTCCGTTACCGCCTGGATCCTGACTCTTTCACATCCCTGAGACGAACAGTAACTGTGGCCTTCCCTGTGGCTTTTGGCTTTGAGATATAAGAACAACAACCTGTACGGATCAGAAAACAATTCACTGGGCATTAGATGGACTCTCCAAGGCGTACCAAAATTCCTCAAACTGACTCATGGCAAAAGGGGACATTCCTCCAACATAGTGATCTCTCTTAAAGAAAAATCACAAAACGAATAAAGTTGTTTCTGTTTCCTTTCCATGCTAAGATTCTAGGTCAAACATAGTATCACTTATGAAAGTATTTTGATGACCGGATTCAGTCATTCTAAAAAAATATAAAACATAGTTTCTGGTTTGAATTAGTTCAGCACGCATTTGGAAAGGTTGGACTCCGGCTTGCTTCAAAAATTCTTTGCAAAACTTTATACTTGTGGTAAGTTTAGGATTCAGTAAATTAGTGTGGTTTACTCCTTTTTGTTGTTGTTGTTTATAAATCATTTTGGTTTCAGGCACAAAACTGGAAGAATAAAAACAGCAACTGACTTGTTTGGCTAAGCCCAAGATACGGTCTGAAATCAATTCCTGTGATATTTATAAGGAGCAGATGGGCCGAGGGTTCCTTCTGTCTGTACTTTGGCCAAAATCAAGCAAAATGAACAGTCCCACCCAATCTGAATTATTGTCCTACTGCCAAGATGAATGGAAAAGTAACGTCAGGCAGCAATCCAGCGTCTTTCAGCAAACGTCGTTCTTCTAAACCAAAAGAAGTCAAGATTCTAAAGGACTTGATCAAAAAATTATTGATTGCTGGAGACGAAAAATCCATATCATAATATGAGGTCAATCAATATTGCAAAGGTAGCAATCAAGGCTCCAGCATCTAGTAATCCGATCATACGTATATAAGGAAGGACAAGGCCAAGGCCACGACGTTTGAAATACAGTCACATCAAAATCATCAAAATGAATTCTAACCTCAGGGGAGCTGGGGGATCTAAAAATATCCAAATTTAAAAAGAAAACCATTTTTTCCTGCTATCTTTTTCCATCTACTCATTTGTGATCAGCAGTCTGTGCTTAAAATCTGGGGGTTTCCTCCGTTCCAGTTATTTCTGTGGAAAATGAACTGAGAATGGGGAAATTTGGTCATCTGAATAAAAACCCAGGCATACTATTTAAGCCTGATGAGAAATTGAGAACAAAAGACAATGATAAGAAACAGTTTAAGGAGATCACACTGGCTCCTAACAAGGCCCTGGAGAACAAATTATTCCCATCATATTGAAAGGCTAATACGGCACTTGCTAAACCAGAACCTCATTCCTCTGATCAATCTTGACGCCCTTCTCCCCAGCCTGAACCTCTGCTCTGGCCCCAAACATGCCATGCTATGGATTCCCATGCTCCATGCATTTATCCACACTGGGACAGCTCACCCACTGCTTCTGCTCTATCTTTCAGGAGATCACCCCAGAACTACCCTCTTGGCCTGATTACCACAGATTAAACTTCCAGATTTTCTCCCGAGGCACATTAAATATCCCACTACAAAGCATCGAAGCCTTTGGCTCTCAGATTACCTGCTTCCAATGCCCACATTCTTCAGGGGTGGATTGTGAATACACTGAAAAGTAAACGTGTCTTACTTACATCGGCATCTTTAGAGAATTTAGATATTGGAAGGCAGTAGGAATATCATTTAAGGAAGGGAGGGGAAAGGAGCATGCTGTTTGCTAGAAGAGTACAGGAGATCAAGCCTACCATAACCCAAAGGCTGAGAGACTGTAACTGGATAAAAGTAGACAAAGCCAACAGGACCCCAGGTGAACAGGATTAGAATAAAAAAGTGGAAAGATGCAGCCTAGAGAAAGTTGAAAGCAAACATGCCAAGGTTATACAGTGTATATAAAAAAAAACCAAGCAAAATACTCAACTTGAGGTCAACTTGAGAGACAGTCTTCAAGAACAAGACAAAAGACACTTTCACTGAATTAGGACCGTCATCAGATGTAAACAATCATTTGCAGAGTTATGGGGGAGGGGGTGGGGAAATCAGTTTCATTTTCAATTCGGCCCACCGGTTCTCATTGACAAGGAAACTGTCTCCCTCGAAATCGCCTTAATAGGTACATGGCAAACATCTCCACTCGATTCCGACTGCCAACTCTAATTACATGTCATCCAAGCTCTCCTCTAAGCCTCTAATAGTGATGATCGGAGAATTACCCACATCAGCTGCTTCTCTCAACAGCCGTCACATCACAGCCTATTCTTAGCATGCTGAAGAACTAGTAATTTCACCATTAAAGAAAAATAGCAATAATTCTCATTCACTGGTAGCACCAAATTACCCTGTGGCGGAGTCAAAATAGAATTTCCTCTCCGTCTGCTTCCTCTGCAGCTCTTCCAGGGAGCTCACGGGCTCGTACTCCTCCATCCTGGATAAGGAGCCGTTTTGCCGCTGCAGAAAGCCAAAAGTGACCTGGAAACTTGTGTTGGATGGGTAGCAGAGGCCAACTCGAATCCAATCATTCCTGTCAGAAAAGAAGAAAAAAAAATTCATTCTGTTTGAGTTCACATCTTCTGAGGATCACAGCATGCAGAACTTGTACCCGACGTTTTCTTCTCTTTCCGTTTTGCTGTGTACTGAGTCACTACAACGGGAGTCCCAGACCTGGACACACTGACAGATCATCCACCTTCACAAGCAGCCTACAGTTCTCTAGTCAATGCATTTACGACAGCCTGATTCACAAAAATCCCTTGGTTCCAACAGGATTTCAGGGAATGTGAACAGAAGTCAAATAAAGTGCACTTGGGCTACAATTACGATGATATTTGTGTACTAAGGTAGAAGAAACGGTAGTATCTTCACAGCAAACTGGCAAATGTCTCTCCAAAGAATATTGGGGGAGGTGGGGCGGCCTCCCAAGTGATTCCAGCCGGCAGTTCAACATGAGGGCTTTGATGAGGCCCTGCCCAGGCCCTGATGAGCAGGGGATCTTCCAGCCACCCCTGCCAATCTTGGGGGGACCTAGAGGGCCACACCCAGGATACTCAGGGGCTGGTACCTGCATGGCCAGCAGGTCAGGCATGCGTCTTGGCTCTTGGATGGCTGCTCCAGCACCTCCCTAAGATATTTTGAGAGCTAAGAACATCGTTCAGTGGAAGGGCTCCTGCCTGCAGGTATGAGGCCCTGGGTTTAAACCTCTGCACTATTTCAAAATAAAAAACAAGACTTGATGCCAGGGAGTGTTCAACAGACTGGAGTGCATGCTTTGCATGGGGGAGGCCCAAGATCAATCACCAGCACCACACGATCTTCCAGGCACTGAGCCAGGCACTGAGCCCCTCAAAGAGGTGTGACCTTCCCCCACACCCCACCAAATTAAAATTTTAAAAAAAATTAAATTATTTCAGCCCACGCCACACAGCTACCACCATGTTAATTCACCCCCTGACCCTGCTCTACCAATTCCCAACTAAGTCTTCCAGGAGATGCACGCCAAGCATCTATAATTTATGGAATCACTGGTTCCATGGCTGAAAACTCCCAGGCGCCCTTGGGGGCAGGTGAGCCAAATACTGGCCCCGCCAAAGCCAGCAGCCACACCCACACCCCACACTGCAAGCACCCCAGGGGCTCAACTCCATTGTTACCCAAATATTCTCTGCAGAGACACCAGTCTGTGAATAACTTCAGGGACCTGGTGCCCAGGCTGAGAATCCTGGTGTTCTGAGGCGTGGGGGTGGGCAGTCTCCCCTCAATGTCCCATACTTCTGGAAGCCCCCACAGCCACAGCCACATGCCGTAGCCACTGCCAGGTTGACCCATTAGCCCAGACCACAGATCCTGAAGTCTCTGGACCATGCAGTCACATACACGAGATTGGGATACCTCCTTACTGCTCAATAAAATCCAGCAGGAACACACAAAATTAGATGGGACAGTGACACAGAGGTCGACTAAGCTCAACAAACAAAAACAGTGACACAGAAGGTTCAACTAGCAACAAAGAGCTTAAAAAATTCATAGACAGAGATTTAACAATCAGACGTAACGATTTTCACATAGATTTTTTTAATACTGATTTTAATATCGGAGCTTTGTTATCTAATCAATTTTAATTCTACAATTGTATCAACAGTTGTGGCTTTTTTCTACATTAAAATGGATTTAAATTTTTTAAAAATTATTTCACGTTCATAAATATGTTTTTATGATTGAGACAAATTACTACTAGGAAAATTGCTAAATACCAAGCTATATGCATTTTTTTTTCAAGATTTCACGTGTAATATCAAATTGCCAAAATGTTTTACTCTTACTGTGTGTCCTTAAAAATAAATTAAAACTTCTAGAAGAACATTAAAAACTGTTTCTCCAGAACTGCTTAGGGAATATTTTATTCAACAAGCACATTATATAGATGACAACAGTGGCGATCAGAAATGAAAGGTATTTAGGAATGGGTACAGTGGAAGAAAGTGGAATATGTGCATGGTGAATCAGACTTTCAGTGGTGAACTTAATGCAATATACAATATACATATTGGTTTTCTGTGATGCATGCCTAAAGCATATAGTATTATAAGACATCGTTACCCAGTAAAAAGAAATAAAATATATATTTAAAACCAAAAGTAACATTTCTCCTAGGAGCAGAGTGATAGTACATCTGGTAGGGTGTTTGCCTTGCACAGCTGGCCCAGGTTAAATTCTCGGCACCCTTTTAATTCCCCTGAGCCCACCAGGAGTGATCCCTGAGCACAGAGTCAAGAGTACATCCTGAGCACTGCCAAGTGTGGCCTAAACCTACTACCCACACCCCCTGCCCCCGTATTCTAGGCTGCTTAACAAGCTGAGCATATGATGGCATACAGGAGGTCTGGCTTCAATCCCCTGTACCACATGGTGACCTGCATACCACCAGCCAAGAAAGTATCCATGTCTTACCAAGTAACTCCACAAAGAACTAGAAATGAACACAGAAAGTTTTGAGAAAGATGGACTAGGAAGGGTCATTTATAAAAGCAGTAAAAGGGGGAAAAGACGAAAAACCACCATAATGTTCATAGAGGAAGTGATTAGTTACGTAAATCTGGGATATCTCCATTCTCAGCCACACTGGAGGGGCACCAGACAGACAGTACCAGGGGGAAGGCTCTTTCCTTGCGTGTAGCCAACCACAGTTCATGCCCCCTCTCCCCCCACCACCACATATGGTCCCCTGATACCACCAGAAGTGATCTCTGCAGGCAGGAAACTCTGGAGGTCGGAGTGAGAGTGAAAACGACAAATATTTATGACACTTCATTTTCATTAGAATAGATACTGTTTTTAACCTTATTCCTACTTTTCTGTTATTTTCCATAACGAGTAAACACAGCTTTTATGACTGCTAAAGTGTAATTTTCAGAAGTAGCTCTATGACAAAATCTATGACCGCTATAATTAAACTAAATTTGGAAACAAAAATTATCCATCTCTTTTTTTCCTCTACCCAAGATGTAATTTCTTACAAACTTTAGCTCGTTAAGGAAAATCTGACTAAGCTTCAAGCCCATGTGGATTTTGGTGATCTCTGGATTCAGCCCTGTTTCCACTTTAAAAAAATGTTTTTGCTTGCTTACTATTTGATCCAGTGTCATGCGTGGCACTTAGAGAAACCTGCATACCATTTGGATGTAATATCTGCCAGATAGCTTTCTGGATGCCAGTGAATTCTTCGATACACTTTCTCTGTCCTCTTGACAACCCTCGGTTACTTTGGGTGACTTCTCTGCAGCTCACAGATGGTACTGATTCTAAATTGGGTGGTTAGAAATCTCAGTGTAGACACGCAGGGGCAACAAATCGAACAGGAGGCTGCCGTGGGGGTCCAGGCAAGACATGAGGGCACATGAACTCAGTCAGAAACAGTGGAGGTAGAAACAGAGTTTTGAAAAAAAATGGACAAGATAGAAGCAGAAGTATAAGGAATAACCAATAAGGGTTGGTCGTTGATGGATGGAGAAACGCTAGTAAGAATCCAGTATGTGTCCTGGGAGTTCAGGCTTAGCTGAGAAGATGGGATTCTCCGTGAGAGCAGGGAGAAGGAGCAACAAAAGCTAGAGATTACCAGCATACGTTTAGTTTAGATCAAGTGCCAAAGACCTAGAACCTCAGAATAAGTAAGTGCATAACCATGATGTTTATCTATCTTGAAAGAGACACCACTTAGAGTTGAATTCCCATGAATTTGTTCTTTCATCCATCTTTGTTCATTTCAGTTGGACATTTTAAGAGAGTTCTGACAAATCAGTTTTTCAACCGCTTAAAATGAGAAAACCACTTCCATTTTCAGATAGACACGCACATATGAGCAAGATTTTGGTGTTTCAAAGATGGACCATGACACGTATCTAGATGAGTTTACTTCTACCTTTCCAAACATTCCTCTTTTAGCTCCATCTTCAGGCACGTCTTCCAATCCACCCACGGTTCCCATCACACTGGATCCACCATTTCTTCAGCACAAACAGCCCTTTCCCAACTCTCTTGTCAGAAACATAGTTGGTGATTTTTATGACCTGACTCATTACTGAATCAACTTCACTTCCTCCATGCAGTCTCGACCAACTCCCTTAGGCAGAATTAGTTGCACTATCTTTGGTCCTCTAAAAATTAGTACTGGTTTATTCAGTTCTTTGAATTTTTTTTCCAACCTGTATATTCAGAGCTCCCGGGGGCTTATAATGTTCTTATTCATCTTTACAATAATTGGGCCACACCTGAATCAAATTAGTATGAAAACAAAGTCCTTAGATTGAAAGTGGTATTCTTAGGACCAAAAACTAAGAAACCAAAAATGGACATAAAAATGATTTCATTGGGGCTGGAGCGATAGCACAGAGGGTAGGGTGTTTGCCTTGCATGCGGCCGACCTGGGTTCGATTCCCAGCATCCCATATGGTTCCTTGAGCACCGCCAGGAGTAACTCCTGAGTGCAGAGCCAGGAGTAAGCCCCATGCATCGTCAGGTGTGACCCAAAAAGCAAAAATAATAATAATAATAATAAAAATGATTTCAGGCAGGGGTAGCAGATATCAGACAATACCACTACAACTCTTTAGATGCCTGTCCATAGCAGGCATCAATAATCAATCACATTACTCTCATTTCAAACTAAACTTGGCCTCAAAATACTGTTTTACAGTATTCCAGGCAACCAAGCGTTCAGCTAGAATACCAGAAAAACTTTCTCATTCTAGCTACAAGAAATTATTCCGCAAACTATTAAAACCTATCATTAAAAAACTTTCTGCACATATACCTGACCACAGAGAAAAAGGAATGTTGTCAAAATGACAGGATCCAATTTCTATAATCTCCTAATTCCAGCAACATAATATATACAGCTTCCCCAGAAGAGGAGAAAAACACATGAAATTGGCATTCCTTTCTTTTTTCATAACAAAAAGCTATGTTATTAGTTCCTCTCACTAAATTACCACTTGCACACTATGGAATAGCAGTATGGGAAACTCACTTATTGAAATTTATGAGGTATAGAAAGGCGGTTCGTGGTGCCAGTCCATTCCAGTGGATGGTATAGCCCTTTTCCAGCATGATCACAGGCTGGTACTGTGGGAAGGTAGCCTTCTGGTTAATGCCACGGAGCACCATGGGGTAGGCAGGATACTCATCTCGGACGATGGTCATGGAAAGATTCTGAGTACTCCAGGTCTGCACATAGACCTGCAAAAAATGAATTATGGATTAAAGGAAATCATGAAAAATTTTAATAGTTCAACCAAAAATTTCCAGAACAAATTCAGTTTCTAATTCTTGTTCTGGTTCTGTTTAGCACTGCCAAATCCAAACTTCTCCTGAGGCGTTTGTTGGTACAACCAAGATCTGCATTCACTTTTGTTTATTTGTTTTGGGGCCATATCTGCTCAGGGCTTACTCCTGGCTCAGCACCCAGGGATCACTCCTGGTAGAGCTCATGAAGTATAATGGGGTGCTGGGGGCCTTCTTACCTTACACCTGGTCAGTCAGATGAAAGGTAAGACTTATCTCCCTGTATTATCAAAACTTCAGCAGAGTCTGGCAAACTCCCCGTGGCGTACCCAATATGCCAAATACCAGTAACAATGATGGGTCTCATTCTCCTAAAGAGCCTTGAATATAATCTCAGGGCCAGCATGAAGGAGACGTTACTGGGGCCTGCTCGAGGCAATCGAAGAATATCAGGATGGTCGTGATTATGATTCTGATTATCAAAACTTATCTATTGTATTACCTTTTCTGACTTGCCTTGTGTTTTTTATATATACTCTGACTTTTACATGCTTTCCTGACTTCATGATTCTGACTTGATCTTATTTTTATTAACTTACAGGGAGGGGATGAGGGCACACCCAGCAGTACTCAAGGGCTAATCTTGGTTTCTGGCAGTGCTTGGGGAACCACATACAATGCCAGGGATTGAACTGGGATCAGCCACATGCTTATTTTTCCAGAAAAAAGGAACAAACCAAATTTCACTGAAATCCTAAGATTCTCTCACTACTCTTATCATTTTAAATTTAATCTTTTTTGTTAACTGGGATGATAATGCTTGTAAAAATATTCTCCTTTGCATTTATTTTCACTGTATCACCTTTATCCTTTTCTAATCTAATTGATTTATCTTGTTGAGAATATTATGCAACCTTGTGGCTGAAGATTTGTATAGAAGGGAGTGAATGGGACCTCTTATTTGTAAAATAATGACACTGTCTGCAGTCTGGAGCGATAGTACAGCTGTAAGGTGTTTGTGTACAGCCAGCCCGCCGGGTTCAATTCCTCCGCCCCTCTCGGAGAGCCCGGCAAGCTACCGAGAGTATCTCACCTGCATGGCAAAGCCTGGCAAGCTCCCCGTGACGTACTCGATATGCCAAACACAATAACAACAAGTCTCAAAACATGGAGACGTTACTGGGCCCGCTCGAGCAAATCGATAAACAACGGGAGGACAATGACACGGATGACAGTGACAGTCTGCAGTCAGAGATCGACCATCACATCTGAGAACAGAGACCCTTCACACGTAGTGGCAAGAGAATTTTTTTTTTCCAGCTTAAAATGTCTCTAGTTTTAAAAAGAGATTCCGTGATCTGTGCCAGACTAACTGAGTAATGACCGAGTCCATCTACACTGCACTTCCTATGAAGTCTGCTTACAGTGATTTACTAAGAACAAGCCAAGATCTTCATCATTTCTTCCACCACAATTTGGGCCAGCCTACCCATCAGAATATAAAACCTTAGGGATTTGCATAACTTGTCAAAGAAATCCTCTAAACTAAAAAAGATACATGCAAAAAATATTAACTAGCAATTCTGAAAAAGCCACACTTGAGCAAAATCTGAGAGGTTTTTTTCCTCTAAACCAAGAAATGGAAAATTTTAGCGTCTTACAGTTGGCTTTCTATTTTCCATGACCTACATGAATCCAAGAAGTCACTTTTCACCCCTTTCAAAAAGAAAAAAAAGTGAAAAGTACTGTATAAAAGCTGGAAAAACATGTTAAGCTGCAACAAATGTGAACATTCTGATTTATTCCCGTGGCAGTGAGCCCCTTCAGCAGCAAACAAGTTATCCTCCAAAAGCATCCCACAAAGAATAAACCCGCTCAACTTCCTCAAATCCATTTCCTGTAGGATTTTCCTACGTTTTCAAACATTTGCCAATTACTGACATTTAATCTATAATACTGCTACTTTTCCTCCTTGAGTCATTTCTATAGTTCTGTTTAATTTCTGATTCCCCAATTATACTTCCTTTAATCCAGAAAAACAAAATGTTTTTTCATTTGGGGGGGCCACACTCCACAGTGCTCAAAGCTACTCCCAGCTGCCCTACTGTGCACCAAATGGGTAAGCTTCTTACCGAAGACCAGTTCTCTGTTTCTGTTGCCTTTGGACATTTGGCATTTCCTTACTATTTGTTTATATCCCACATGAAGGAAATATAGTATCAAAAGTACTGGTTGGGGATAATTCTAATGAAGAAGAAAAAGAATGGGGCCAGAGCAATAGCACAGTGAGCAAGGGGCTTGCCTTATACACAGCTCACCCAGGCTTGATCCCAGCACCACATACGGTCCCCCAAGTTCTCCCCCAAGGATTATTCCTGAGCTCGCTGGGAGTAAGCTTTGAGGTGTGGCCAGATATGGCCACGTATGGCCCCAAAACAAAGAAACAAAAATTAAATTAAAAACAATTTTTGAAATAAAAAAATGAAAAAGACACATTTTATTTCTTTATTTCCATATTTATGTATTATCCACAATTATTTCCTTTTTTGACTATTTAACTATAGTCAAATCTCTCTTGTCCCTCTTAAAACTTAAGCACATATTACCTTTCTTTTTCTTGGCTGATAGTAGTAAGACATTTCTTAACAAAGAAAGTTAACATTCCAGGGCAGGAGAGAGAGGACAGCAGGTTGGGAGGATAGGGGTAGGGAGCTTCCTAGCAGTGTTCAGTGTACCTGGACCCACTCACAGATACCTGCCCAACCAGGTGGGCCAGATGGTTCAATGCTGAGACCCATCTCAGCACCCTAGGGCTATACCAGGCAGTGCTCATGCGCCTTTATGGTGCTGGGAATCAATCTTGCAGTATTGTACGTACATACAAAGCATGCAACCTTGACCTTTGAGCTAACTCCCCCGTCCCAGAATATAGCCTTCCTTTTGCTGTTTGCTGGTTTTTTTTTTTCCTTTGGGGGTGGGGGTTGGGGATAATACACCCAGCTGTGTTCAGGGCTTACTCCTGGTGGGCTCAGGGTACCAAATGTTTTGTTGAGGATCAAAGAATCCAGGTCTGCTGTGTGCAAGGCAAGCACCTTACCTGTCATTCCATCTCTCTGGCCCCAAATATCGCCTTCATAGTCACACAATAAAGTTAGAAGCGCAAGGGAGAACTCTGTTCCAGAAAGGTCCTACTTTGGAAGGGAAAGTGCTGGGAATCACGCACACTTTGGCACTTTGGAGGACTCAAGACATACAACAACAAGAGCTGACCTGCTTGGGGGGGGGGGGGGCGGGCAAAGGAAGGGAGCCAAGCTCAGCAGAAGAAGAGTGACATCAAGTCAGGAAACACGGGTTCTCTCACACACTAACTCAAGCCAGGACAAAGCATGCCATGTCACTTTCCTGCTTCTAAATTGGTTTCAAGTGGGGAAGAGTCACAGTAAACTTCAATGAGTCCAAGATGCTTAGAGATTTGTAGTTTTCTTTTCTTGCGATAAGAGAAATCGTGCTCAAAAGTCAGCTCAGATAGAGAAGGGAGCACCAAATAAAGGGTGTTGGGAGGATCCTCCCAGGATGGGAGATGCATGTTGGAAGTAGACTATGGACCGAACATGATTGCCACTCAATGCCTCTCTTGCGAAACACAAGACCCAAAAGGAGAGAGAGAACAAAAGAGAATGCCCTGCCACAGAGGCAGGGTGGGATGGGGGGTTGGGGGGTGGGAGGGATACTGGGATCCATGGTGGTGGAGGATGGGCGCTGGTGGAGGGATGGGTACTTGATCATTGTATGACTGAAACCCAAGCAGAAAAATTTGTAAGTCTACAACTGTACCTCAAGGTGTTTCACTAATAAAAATTAATTAAAAAAAAAAAAGAGAAATCGTGCTCATTGAAAATCCTCACGGAAGCACGGCAGGCCCGCCGCCAGCAGGAATCAGCATTTCGAGAAGGAATCCGGCCTACCTGGGCATAGCTCCCACTGCAGACCACTGCGTTCCACTTGGTCACGTTCACGCAGCTTGGGTGGCGGATCAGGTAGTTGTCCATCCGTCCCACATACACGTCCTTGTATCCTGTCACGGAGCCATCGATGTCGTGGAATATGGAGTTCTTATCACCATCCAGCTCACAGTCTTCAAACCAGGGGCCAGGCTTCCCAAAGAAGACGTTCAGAGACACCTGAGGGGGCGCGGGGAGGAGTGTGAAACCATGCAGCCGGTGGTTCCAAGCAAGCAATTACTGCACAGCCCTTCCAATCTGTTCTGAAGTGACAAGGACAGGGTGGAGGGCCTGTGATTTTGGTTCTGGTTTTTAGGCCACACCGGGCTTTGCTCCGAGCTTACTCTTGGCTCAGGACTCAGGTATCACTCCTTCCATTACCAAGGATCAAATTACCGAGATCAAAATCAGGTTGAACAGCCTGGCTGTTCCTCGCTGGGGTCCCTTGGAGGGGAGCGGGTTGAGCTTTCCTCCCCGCCCCGACTAGGGCTCCGGCAGCCGAAGACCTCCAGGACCAGCCACCACCATGCTGAGACCACTCTCCGCACACATGAAGGTACTGGCAGAGGGACAAAGCCACGCGGGTTCCGGGGCCGAGATCTCCAAGCCTACTCGAATTGGAGTCCAGCATCCTCCACCCAGATCCTCCAAATTCCAGTAGGCGGGGGTCACACCCACCACCTGGCCCCCTGGCGCCGTGTAATCCCATCAACGGCCAAGACTCAGAGACTATAAAATACAGTTCCTGCAAATGCGACATCTTATCAGGACATCTTTTTATGCCATCTTATTATCTCATTCCTACTTTGGACAAACTTGCAGGCTATCGAATGTAGGCTGCCCACAGGGCAGAGTCTGGCAAACTCCCCGTGGAGTACCAAATATGCCAAATACCAGTAACAATGATGGGTCTCATTCTCCTAAAGAGCCTTGAATATAATCTCAGGGCTAGGATGAAAGAGACGTTACTGGGGCCTGCTCGAGGCAATCGACGAATCGACGAAAATTCAGGTTGGATTGGTGCAAATCAAGAGCCTTACTGGCTGTACTCTCTCTCCAGTCCTGGTCTTTGGTATTTTGATGGTGGAGAACCCATCATTCACTCTGCCCGCCAAAGACATAATGTAGCCAGGAGGAGCCCCTGATCACTGCTGAGTGTGACCAAAATTTTAAAAAATAAATTCTTACAAGGAAATACGTTAAGTTCCGAGTTGTAGTTCAGACTCCTAATACCTGCACAGTTTCCAGTTAATGATTTCAAGCTTAGGAGCAGAGAGAAATAAATTCCAAAAATTTTTTAATGTCATCTTATTTTTCTCTCCCACTTAAAAACTGGTACCTGCTCTCTAGAAAAAACCATGCTGTGTTAAAAGAAACCCAAACACAGCTGGAGCAATAGTATAGCAGGTAGGGTGTTTGCCTTGCACATGCCGATTCGGGGTTCAATCTCCTGCATCCCCATATGGTTCCCCGAGCACCGCCAGGAGTGATTCCTGAGTGCAGAGCCAGGAATCACCCAAGCATTGTAACCCAAAAGAGAAACCCAAATAGTCACGAAAAGGCAGGCTTCCTTTTGTATATATTTCAAAACAAAGGGTCAGAGTGGTAGTAGAGCAGGTAGGGCATTTGCCTTGCATACAGCAAATTCGGGCTTGATCCCTGGCATTCTATATGATCCCCTGACCACCACCAGGAGTAATTCCTGAGTGCACAGCTAAAGCAACCCCTGAGCATTACCGGGTATGCCCCCCCCAAAAAAAAGAATAAAAGTGGGGACTAGAGAAACAGTAGAGTGGGTAGGGCAGTTGTCTTGCACAGGCCCAGCTCAGGTTCAATCCCCAGTATGTCATATGGTTCCCCAAGCACTGCCATGAGTGTTGACCCAGGAGTAACCTCTGACCATCATTGGGTCAAAATAAAAGAAAAACAAATTAGAAACATCACACTTAAGATCAGTGTATTTCCCTGCATGCAAATCACATCTCAGCTAAATAAAAGTCAACTCTAAATAAAAACTCTCAGTAAGTAGAATCTTTACTCATTTTTTGTCATTGCAAATGCTTAGTTATCTCTTCATGGGATTTCCCTGTACCAAAAGATGGGTACGTGTCAAGACTGACAAGGCCTAAATGTTTCTTCCTCTGTGGCTGAGAAACCAGTGGCATCGCTAGAATATGCTCAAAAGTGTATGTTACTTTCTCTCTCTCCTCAGTGCAGACCAAGCCCAGCTCAGTAATTTTCATGTCCAGTTGAATGAATTTAAAACCTTCCCTCGGTACTTGGTACACAAGTGCAAAGCAGGATGCAGGTGGCACGTTTTATAGTCCTTTCACTGATTTTTATCAGTGGTAATTATGATATTCACCAAGTCCCAGAGATACACGTCTAATGCTTTTATGCATTGGCAGCCCTGGGTTGTAGCAGAAGTAACTACCTAGAGTCTGGGCTAGAAGACCTGAGCATGAATTGTCTTTGGCTCTCAGTCACTGTCACTGTCACTGTCCTCCCGTTGTTCATCGATTTGCTCGAGCGGGCCCACTAACATCTCCATTGGAGACTTTGTTGTTACTGTGTTTGGCATCTCGAATACGTCACGGGTAGCTTGCCAGGCTCTGCCGTGCTGGCGAGATACTCAGTACAAAAGTAAATCTAATGAACTGCTTCTCAGTCTGGACACCTTCGGGGTCACTAAACTTTATGCAGAAGAGGTTATAGGGAGGGTCACGTGGGCAACACACAACCCCGCCCACTGGAAAGCGAATCCAAGATACACCCTATTTCCTTAGGTGGGAAGCTTCCAACCATATGGCCCCGGTACTATTCTCAGAGTCTGTGGCCTGAAAGAAATCCTCCTCCCCAACTGAGCTGACATCTCCGTCTGAACCTGTGCTTTTGTTCCATGCCCTAGCTACTGTAGAAAACCAAAAGCAGGCACTGGGGACCTAGCCCAAATTCTCACTAAAACTGGGCCACCACAAAATTTGCCTGTAGCTAGAAATGAGAGAACCTTGGGCCCCATTCCAGTTGTGGCTGGCCTGGAGCAGGAAGAGAGACGATCGGAGTGAGGCTCCATCTCTGGCCTGGCCACACTGGTTCTGGGAGGGTCTGGGGGTGTTGATGGGGATGGCCTGTGTAGGAAGGGGGAAGGGGACCAAAGAAACTGCTGAAAGTATTTTGGTGGGTATTATCCAATAAACAAGTATTTGAAATCTTCATTACAATAGCCTGTAGCACTGCCCTCCTGTTGTTCATCTATTTTCTCGAGCGGGCACCAGTAACGTCTCCATTGTGAGACCTACTGTTACTGTTTTTGGCATATTGAATACATCACGGGTAGCTTGCCAGGCTTTGCCCTGCGGGCGGAATATTCTTGGTAACTTGCCGGGCTCTCTGAGAGGGGCGGAGGAATTGAACCCAGGTCGGCTGCGTGCAAGGCAAACGCCCAACCCTCTATGCTATTGCTCTGGCCCCTTCATTACAATAGACATAAAAATCTTGAAACAGTTTATGTATTATAAATAACCCAACCCGTTATCTTTTATCTCCTATTTCTACAAAAGAGCAAGCCCTGGGCAAGACTGATCTTGCGAGTTATTACAGTGAATTTTCCCAAATCCTCTTTTTGCCACCTAATGAAACTACAATTCTCAAGAGATCACTTGAACTCATTTCTTTCTTTGTAAGCTTGAATATCTGACATTCAAGACTGCACTTGCCTTAAATATCAAAAGATAGCCTGGACACATGGCACCTCATTCTCACTGTGAACTTAACATCCCAGAGGGCACAGAATGAAGTTGCTTTTGCATGTACTTCTCCTTGACAAAGAAGACACTTTGCAAACTCTCTGTGTTTCTGTTTGGGGGAATGGGCTGTCCTTCTCCCATCACTAACTGTTCTCTGGGAACCATAAGAATATACTTAAAGAAGAAATCCGAATGGCTAAAAGGCACATGAGAAAATGCTCTACAGCACTAATCATTAGGGAAATGCAGATCAAAAGAACAATGAGATGTCATCTCACACCACAGAGACTGCCCATATCCAAAAGAATAAAAGCAACCGGTGTTGGTGCGGATGTGGCGAGAAAGGGACACTTATTCACTGCTGGTGGGAATGCCAACTGGTTCAGTCCTTTTGGAAAACAGTATGGACGATTTAAAAAAAAATTAGAAACTGAGCTCCCATTTGACCCAAGCAATACCACTCCTGGGAATATATCCCGGAGAAGCAAAAAATTACAGTTGAAATGACATCTGCACTATGTTCATTGCTGCACTGTTCACAATAGCCAAAATCTGAAAAAAGAACCTGAGTGCCCGAGAACAGATGACTAGTTAAAGAAACTTTGCTATATCTATACAATGGAATATTATGCAGCTGTTAGAAATGATGAAGTCATGAAATTTACAAACAAGTGTTCTATATGGAAAGTATCATGCTAAGTGAAATGAGTCAGAAAGAGAGGGACAGACATTGAAAGACTGCACTCCTCTGGGGAATATAAAGTAAATAATAGGAGATGAACACCCAAGAATAGTTGAGATAAGTACCAGTAGGTCTGCTCCATGGCTTGGAAGCCAGCAGCACATGCTGGGGGAAAAGGCAGCTCAGATAGAGAAGGGAACACCAAGTAAAGGGTGTTTGGAGGACTCGCTCGGGATGTGAGATGCATGCTACAAATAGACTACAGGTAGAATTCGATGGCTACTCAATACCTCTATTGCCAACCACAACACCCTAAAGGAAAGAGAGAGCAAAAGGGAATGCCCTGCCACAAAGGTGGGGCTGGGGGAGGGGTAGGATAAGGGAGTGGGAGGGTTACTGGGTTCATTGGTGCAGGAGAATGGGCACTGGTGGAGAGATGGATACTTGATCATTGTATAACTGAAACCAAAGTACGAAAGTTTGTAAGTCTACAACTGTACCTCATGGTGTTTCACTTAAAAAAAAAAAGGAAAAAAAAACAAACATACTTACATGTGGACCAAACTTCACGAGGGAAATGTTATTCCTGGGGGTTATCTGCCAAGAATTCTTCATGAGGAAGCCAATAGCACTCGTATACCTATCTGGAGTGGGCACGTATTTTTTGAAAGTGCATCTGGTGAGATGAATGGGGCCATCATAAATCTGAAAGCCTCTGATTGGAAATGTCCTGTTGGAATACAAGATTGAGTTCAATGCTCAGGGGATCATCACCTACACAGCATTTCACTTAATTATGTGTTTTATAAATACTATTGCGCATCCTGCATGCACTGAACATGAGTCTAGGACACAGGTTACCAAAACAAGATCCTGATCCAAGGAAAAGGACAGTAAAGTGGAAAAAGCAAACCAAAAAAGGATAATGCGAGGCAGTGAGTTCAACAGGGATAGTAGAACACACCACACTGTGTAGGAGAGACACGCTCCCTCCCAAGGGGAGAGTTTGGGTTTTTTAATTCATTCAGGTCAGATGTTTTATTTGAAAACTTGTATAATTTAGTTTCTGCTCCAAAACCTCTAAAATGAGAACAAAAGCTAAATAGAGAAACACTTCCAAGTGACCAAATCATGGTACTAAGATGAAGGGATACACTTAAGAGGATAAAATTTAAGTTCTCAAGGCTTACAATGCGTCAAACAGGCTCTCAAGATTGAGAAACTTATTTTATTCACTTTTTTCCTTTCTGTTTACGCAAGCTATGTAATTCATTTCCCTCTTTCTGTTCAAATAAATGCCTGATCACTATCATTGATGATAATTAATGTACAAAACCCGTTAATATTCTGGATTCCTTAGGTTTTTATCCTATTAAATTTGTCAATGGTATTACAAAGGATTTCTACAGCAATTAATTAGGATTTACAACTTGGCAATGGTTTACAAGAGTATGTGCTACTAAGAAAATACATAGCCTGGTTAAATGTGTCACACTGTCACAGTGTCCTCCCGTTGCTCATCAATTTGCTCGAGCAGGCCCAGTAATGTCTCCTTGTGAGACTTGTTGTGACTGTACTTGGCATATTGAATATGTCATGGGTAGCTTGCCAGGCTTTGCCGTGCAGGCAAGATACTCTTGGTAGCTTGCTGGGCTCTCCAAGAGGGGTGGAGGAACAGAACCAGGGTCGGCCACGTGCAAGGCAAACCCCCTACCCGTTGTATATCTGGATATATGCCAAAACAGATTTCTTTTTTGTTGTTTTTGTTTTTTGGAGGAACACCTGTTGGAACTCAGGGGTTAATCTTGACTCTGCATTCAGGGATCACACTTGGCCAGCTCGGGAGATCATATGAATTGCCAGGATTGAAACCCCAGTAGGCTGCATGCAAGGCAAGCTCCCTACCTGTTGCAATATCTCTCTCACCCCTAACTATATTTCTATATCCCAAAATGCTTTTTATAGAAAATGTTATCTTTAAACCAACTTTTAAAACAAAATCTGGATTCACCAAATGAGAAATTCTTGTTTTAAAAAAATTATCTTTAGCAAAGGAGTAATAAGCATTTTAAAATCAAACCGGGGGTTCCTAAATCTAAAAGGATGAAAATGATCTGGCCGCCAGCTGACTGCAGCTCAGACTCCAGCAAATCACCATGTTTTATAAGAGGCAGCCATCACCAATGCTAAAGAATATGGCACTGAAATCAAACTAACAGCGTTTATATTCCACCTCAGCAACTTCTAAGTTACACAGTCATAATGCCACAAGATGAGAAATCATGATTTTGTGAGGACAAAACAATCAGAACAATTAGCACTGAGAACAGGACCTTGGGCATCATAAACTTTTTTTTTTTGCTTTTTCGGGTCACACCTGGCAATGCACAGGGGTTACTCCTGGCTCATGCACTCAGGAATTACTCCTGGCAGTGCTCAGGGGACCATATGGGATGCTGGGAATCGAACCCGGGTCGGTCGCGTGCAAGGCAAACGCCCTACCTGCTGTGCTATCGCTCCAGCCCGGGCATCATAAACTTTTAATCAATGTTAACACTGAAAAATCTATGGCACGCCTTTCCAAGTCATTTCTCTGCTCTCACAGGAGTTGGAGAGAGGGCACAGTACCACAGGAGAGGAACCAAGTTCAGGCATCCCCTTGCTAGAAGCTCAAGTCCTTTTTGAGCTCACCCTTTGTCCTCCAGATTTAATAGTCTATTAGCCTCATCCCTCAAACTGCCTCAGCATCATATCTAGACACAGCTTATGACAACATTAAGGGTATTGGGGCTTAATGAATTCTCACCTGATGTAAGGACTTTAGGATTACTAGTTTTGGGATTTTGTTTCTTTCCTACCTGATTTTCTCCCAAATAAGATGTGCAACTTTAAACTGTCTCAAAACAAAAGTATGGATTCATTACACAATAGTTCTCTAAAAGCTCTAAAATTCTTTCTACTTTTATAACCCTATGATTATGACAGAAAATATGTCCAAAATCTTCCCTCCCTTCAGTGTCTGAAATACCATTCATTATATGGTCAGGCGTAGGTGTTGAGTTAACTTTAGTTTTTATAAACTCTTATTTTCTAGGACTATTTTCAATAATTCCCTTTTTTCCAGAAGATCTTCCTGAAAATCAACCATAAATTGAGAGGGAAAAACCTAATATTCTAGCTAACAGTTTGCCAACTTTTTTGTGGCTCAAAAAAGGAGGGAGAAAAAAATAAACACCAACTTATATATCATAAATCACCAGCTTATATTTCATACAAAAGAATGAGGAACAATATCATTTCCTTAATCTTAAAACTGGTAACAGAATCTACTATGTTCCAGAATTCCAGAGAGTAATAGACAATAGTAATAATAACAAAATTAGCAATAAAAGGGTCACAGTGCCACAATTCATGCCAAAAATCATCCAACATTAATAAACCAATCCATGTAATAGTCCAAGATTATTACAGAAATCTCCACTAGGATAAGACGTTCATTTGGTGCTGAAACATACCACTTGCTATGAGAGTGATACTCACCTATTTCTAGGTAATGTCCGAGGCTTCTGGTCTATGCCCCCAATGCCTACATACTTGTTCTGGCCACCCTGGAAGCCGTAATTTCTGCTTTCCCCAACAAAGAGGGATTCAGAGACCTCCTGGCTAGAACCTTCATCACTTGGGAAGCTTCCGTCGCTGCGAATATACAAATGAACACTCACTACACATATACAGCAGGATAAAATAAAGGCAACCTTTATATCTGAATGCATAAACTTCCCCAGCAACATTAGTTTCTTCTAGTGCACCTTTCCAACATGTCTCTTATAAATAAACATGATATTTGATGAAATACAAAGAACTGAAATTTAATTTAGCAGCAACAATGAACTGTTTTGCTATTATTGCTGTGCATAATGATATTTCAAAAGAGAATAAACCTGTCTGGAATATGATTTGATGATAAGCACCTTTAAGATTAACAACAAAAATAAACTCGTTTTAGAGGAAAAAAATAAAGCATAAAAAGTTGAGTTCTTGGAGATCATTGCAAAATTAGAGCAGTTACTAAGAAAAGATTTAGTGTACTTCCAACTTTTCTTGTGCATTTCCTATATATATAATATATAATATATATGATATATATATCATATATATATATATGGCACTGTAGCACTGCACTGTCCTCCCGTTGTTCATCGATTTGCTTGAGCAGGCACCAGTAACATCTCCATTGTGAGACTTGTTGTTACTGTTTTTTTGGTATATCGAATATACCACGGGGAGCTTGCCAGGCTTTGCCGTACAAGCAGGATACTCTTGGTATCTTGCCGGGCTCTCCGAGAGAGAGGCAGAGGAATCGAACCTGGGTTGGCCACATGCAAGGCAAGCACCCTACCTGTTGTGCTTATGCTCCAGCCCATAATATAATAATAATAATAATAATAATAATAATAGTCCCAAGCAACACTCTTGCATATGTGAAGCAAAGAATACAGATCCAAGTAGCACCTCGCATCACTAAGTGGATCCCACACAACAGTGCGTGGGATCCCTGACATGTGAGCCTCTAACTCCACAAAAATCAATCCGAACATAGAGCTCAAGTGTTTTCCTCTTAGCAAAAAAACATAAAAGGGCCTACCCTCTTCTCTTGTCCAATCCCAACACTAATGAATTTACTACTTCAATATGAATTCAGTGATCAGCACCTCAGACTTTTGAGTGATAGCAGGAAGCAGCTACTGTTTCTTGCAGAAAGGATTAAACTGTATTTTCCCAGCAATGATATAACATCATATTGCATTATCAAAAACCAAAGTGGGAGATCACGAGTTGCCCCCCCCACGAGTGGCTCTCCAGCACGGCCATGGCCCCAGAGGCACACGGAGCCAATTCGGAACCCAGCGGCTTTTGGCAGAAATGTGACTTTACTATGCATTAAGCTATGGTGCCGTGCCCCAATGGGTAGGAAAGGGTGTCTGTCACTTCTGCCTTTCTCCCCCCTCACTCCCCCCAGGTGGCACAGTGGCCGCCGCCTCAGAGCCTCCTGGACAGCCAGGTATGAGCTGGCGGTGATGGGGCAACTGCAGCCTCATGGGATGGGGGGTGGAACAGGCCCGTCCTTCCTGCCCGGCCGAGACCACGAGTTGCACCCCACAAGTGGCTCTCTGGTTTAGCCATGGCCCCAGAGGCACATGGACCCAATTCAGAACCCAGCGGCTTTTGGCAGAAATCCCTCTAGACTTAATTAGTAAAATACCAGAAATCCAAATTCACGCGGCCACTATTGCATCCTATGCTCTTCATAACCAGCAATAGAAAACAAATTATTTAACCATGCCTTTTCAGCAGGTCTGATTGTTGGGGGGAAATTCCAAATAATAATGGTGCATCTTTTGTTGAAATAATGAATGTAACCAAAGTAGAGAGAGAGTTAAGTGGAAATCATCTGCCTCATAGGCAGAGGAAGGGGTGGGATGGGGGGTATATTGGGGTTCTTGGTGGTAGAAAATGTGTACTGGCGAAGGGATGGGTGTTTGATCATTGTATGACCGAGACTTAAACCTGAAAGCTTTGTAACTGTTCTCACAATAAGGTGATTCAATAAGTAAAAAAAAAAAAAAAAAAGGAAAAAGTAAGGGACCGATTTGCCTGACTTGAAAAGAATCAGATGAGAATTTGATAAGCAATAACAAACCTGGCAAAGGTCAGTCCAATTCCATTGTCTGCGAATCTGTAAGCGAGAAGAAGAGCAGCGTGAGGGGACGTTTTCATCAATCTTACCACGTAACAAGAGATAATTCTCCCGACATTCAATTCTCACAAAACCCAAGAGCTTCCAATAGTAACTATTCTCTGAGACGATAAAAAACTGTTTCACTTCTTGAAACTACAATGCCCAGACTGCAGCAGCAAAGGCACAGGCTTCAAATCTCAGCCTTGATGTGTGACCGGGGGGCAAATTACTTAACCTCTCTCTCCTTCAGCTTTGTCACAGACAAACCAAAATAGGACCAGAGCACTCAACGGACTGAAGCATCAGCTTTGCCTGCAAGAAGCAGGGTATAATCCCCTGCATCACAGGATCTCCTGAGCATCATGACGAGTGATCGTGAGCACAGAGCCAACAGTAGCCCCAGATGTAGCCCCAAAACCAAACCAAAAGTATTTGAAATAATCATTTAATGTCCCTGATGGTATGCTTGAAAGCATTAACATAATAATTAATTTTAGCCACTTAGAACAGTGTCCAAATGCATATGTTCAGCTAACAGGTGTTACTGACAGGGCCAGAGAGATCTAAGTGCAGAGCACGTGCTTTGCATGGAAGAGGCCTGGGTTGGACCTCGAGCACAGCATGTCCACTCCCCAAGCACGACCTGGAGTGACCCCCAAGTACAGAATGAGGAGTAGCTCCCGAGAATGGCAAAGATCAAACAAAAACAAAACAGAACCCATCCCCAAAAAGTGTTGTTATAATTATTTCGATGACTTTTGAGTGGAGGAAGGCTCCCACACAGTGCTCAGGAAAACTGGGGGTCACCCCCAGCAATATTCTGCATTGCTGGGGCCCAAGGATGCACTGCTAGCCAAAGGCTCGGCAGCCTCCAGGGCCACACACAGTGATTCTCAGGTGGCCTTCGGCTACCAGGACCAAACACAGACCAAGTGCACTCAAGACATAAACCCTAACACTGGTCCCTGATCTCCCTTGCGGATGGTTCTTTTAAAAGTGGTCACTGAGCTCTTCAGGGACCTGGAGGAGTTGGAGGCGAAGCGTGTGGCACTGAACTCCCGCGTGGAGGAGCACTACATAGGCGAAAAGGGGTCAACAGTGCTCCAGAGCCACCATCCTCCCCAGCCCCCCAAGACCCTCTAAACTGGTTTGGAATTCTGGTTCCTCATAGTCTGCGCCTAGCACAAGCCAGCTTCAAGGAGGGCCTGCAGGTCGCTACGGACATGGCCAGCCTTCAGACCCGCATTGACTGGGGTCAGAGCCAGCTCCGAGAACTCCAGGAAAAACTCAGGCATCAGGAACGCAGGGCTGTACAACCTGAGACAGCTGCAGCAGGGCAGTGACCACTGTCCTTCCAGTGACGCCCATCTCAGTGACCATTGTCCTTCCAATAACCCCCTGCCTCAGTGACCAGTGTCCTTCCACATGACAGCCACCTCAGTGAACAATGTCCTTCTACGTGACCCCCCTGTCTCAGTGACCAATGCCCTTCAACATGTCCCCTGTCTCAGTGACATGGCTGTCCTTCCATGTGACCTTTGTCTCAGTGACTGTTGTCCTTCCATGTGGGACCCCCCCTTAGTGACACAGCTGTCCTTCCATGTGGCTCCCTATGTCTGTAACATGCCACATGACCCCTATCTCAGACCTCTCTCCTATATTGTCTGTACCCCCCACCCAGCTAAATCTCTAATGTTTCTCTTGTCTGCACCTCTTCAACTTTGTTGAATAAACCTGAAACGTTTAAAGACAAAAAAAAAAAAAAAAGTGGTCACTGCCTGTGGTGCTGGAGTTGCTTAGGCCACTGACAGCAGCACTCAAAAACCACCACATGGACACTACCAGGGCCCAAACACAAGGCCTCATCTATGCTGGCCTCGACTCTCACACTGATCAATCTCTCTGGGCCTTGTTTTTAGAATTAGTTTTAAACCAGTTAAATCAAGGTAGTCTCTTCCCAACTTTATAGCATGAATGCTCAAGCCATTTCTACATATTTAATACCATATCACTGTCTCTGCAGATGAGCTGGAGGATGAAACCTTAACCAGCAAATGGCAGTACCACAAAGAAAAAAAAATGACTAAAAAGTTTTCTAGACACCTTTGTCAATACCAACCCTTTAGTTCAATAGCTACCAGCCTGCACTAAAAACTACAGAATGGAAAAAAGTGAGCTGCCCAGTGCGTTAGGTCGGGCTAAGACATAAGTCAACAAGACTTAGAAGGTGGAATTCACAACTTTTGTTTGGAATGGCAGCAAAAGAGCATCAGGAGAAGGATTCTGCACTTCCAAGAGGAAGGGGGAAATCCAAGGAGTTTCAACATCTTTATTTAGCTTTCTGCCAAAGACCACGCTTGCTCTATAAAGTGAAATTCTCAATTTCTGTTCATCTGCTCAAACAAACTCTCCTGTCTCCAGACAAGGTCGGCTCCAAGAAAAGCAGCAAACATTTGCAGCCTGCTGCCCCTGGGATGCTTCCTCAGAGCTGGTCCTGTTGAGTAATACTAATCTGACTGCAGAAACCACCACAGGACTTGGGTCGACACGAATACCACCACGTCATGAAGTCAGGCCTGGTGGAGAGCACTCACGCTGAATTCTGCACCACGACGTCTCCGCCTCGGACCCACGCTCCATGGTCATTGTTCTTAAAGGCAATGAGCCTGTCAATTAAAGCAGCAACACGTGGCTTTTCAGGGTCTGCATCCTGATGAGGCCGAAACCTTGCAGGAGAGAAGAAAAAGCATGTTTTAATGAGAAGGTACCAGAAATGGGCTATTTTATAAGCATAAGGTATTTTGAAGTATCAAAGAGCAGGATTGAAATTTGAGCTTGGGAACAAGGAGAGAACAAAACCTTAGAATGCAAATTATTTTACTGTCACATAGTGAAAGAAAATTGTATTTCTTCACACACAAATCCCAAAGAAGTTTTTTTTATATCCTTTCATTTATTCATCAATGTATATTTATAGAATGGGCACTGCAAGAACAGTCTAAGCACTAAAGCTGTGTATCTCAAAAAAAAAAAAAAGTGAAGACCAGAAAATTCCATGTTTCCACAACTGGGTGGGATGGGGGGGGGGGGGCGGTAAAAGTCCGGGGGGTGAGGGGGGGGCACATGCAGATGTGCTCAGGACTCGCTCCAAGTTCTGAAGTTCTGTGCTCAGAGATCACTCTCGGGAGACCATATGCAGTGCCAGGATTGCAAACTGGGGTCAGCCACATTGCAGTCAAGTGCCTGAACCACTATAATATCTCCACGGTCAAATTTTCACGAATTCTTAACCTATCTATGATCTGAATATAAATTCATTGAATAAGTTACTCATACATTCCAACACAGAAATGTGCACTAGAGTATTAAACAGGGTGCTAATGAAACAATTTAGTTATAGATCAAACTGTGAATAATACCTTTAAAAACCTAAATTCAAAATCAATTGTATTTAATTGTCTTGTTAGTTATAAAGACCCATTTTTTTTTCCCTTTTCTTTCTGAAACTCAAGGCTCACAGTAAAAGTAAAAAATACACTGATGTCAAAAGCTGTGCATTCCAGGCCAGGAAAATGGCTCAAAGGCTTGCTGCATATGGTCCCCTAAGCATCACCAAGAGTGACGCCTCAACCCCCAAAACACTAGGAGTGTTCCCCAAAGAAACAAAACTATCTACTCTAACAACTCAAGTAAAAAATTCCGTTGGCCATCTACTTTAAAAAAAAAAAATCATTTCTAGCCTAATCTTACAACACTTAGAGATGAAATGGGAGGGTGGCAAACAGATAAATTTCAAAGATCAATATAGCAGGCTGAGGTTGTCAATCAGAAAATATCATTCGTTAGGGGCTAGAGAGAACATAGAGCAGATAAGGCTTGCATGCAGGCAACCTGGGTTCAATCTCTGGCACCCCAGAGGATACCTTAAACCCCATGCGTGATCATTGAACACAGAGCCAGGAGTAAGTCCTGGGCATCACAGGGTGTGGCCCAAAAACAAACACACAAAAATAATAACAATAAAAGAAAAAATAAAATATCACTTGCATACCACTCTCTACCATGGTCAGCGGGGCATTGCACAGCCAAGGGAGAAATTTGCAGGTTGGCAGCAGGGTAAGAGGGAGAGAGACAGAGAGGTGGGCCAGTGCCAAGCAAGGACATGTTATTTTGTTGTTGTTGTTGTTGTCTTTGAGTCACACCCGGCGATGCATTGGGGTTACTCCTGGCTCTGCACTCAGGAATTACTCCTGGCGGTGCTCGGGGGACCCTATGGGATGTTGGGAATCGAACCTGGGTCGGCCGCATGCAAGGCAAACACCCTACCCGCTGTACTATCACTCAGGCCCCAAGGACATGGTTCTTGATTTTAAATGCAATAGGGAACGCAGAATAGGAGGGCGACTGACAGGGACTGAGAGAAATGGTGAGTTCACGGGGCAGGGGGCACCACTAGGCCAAGGGGCTCCCCCTTGACTAAAGTTTTCTTGACTGAAAATTTTCTATCTCTGCAGTTAGGTAAGGGAGGCTGGTTCTGGAGATCTGCCATGGACCACAGTGCCTGGGCTAACAATACTGTATTTATTACTGGCTTAAATTTTGCTAAGACGGTGAGATCTTTAAGAAGTATTCTTAGCACGCCCCCAAATTAAATCATTAAGTAATACAGCAGGTGAGAGAAAAACTCAGGGAGAATCATGGGTATGGCTAAGATCTTGATGGTAATGATGATTCTGTAGGCATGTGAAAAATCCCAAACTCCCTGGTTTTATATATGAAATATGCACAACCTTTTCTACATCAACTATAATAATGGGAAGCTGGAGAGAGAGGAAAGGTGGGACGGGGGGAAATATATGATTAAAAATCATTACAGGGGCTGGAGCAACAGTACAGCAGGTAAGGCACTTGTACACGGCTGACCAGAGTTTGATTCCCGGCATCCCATATGGTCCCCCAAGCACCGCCAGGAGGAATTCCTGAGTGTGGAACCAGGAATAACCCCTGAGCATCAGCAGGTGAGACCCCAAAAGCAAAATAATAACAAAACTTCCTTAAAAATTAAAAAAATTAGAAAAAGTATCAGGGAAATGATATGCATGAAATTCATTTTTTTTAAACTGGTGAATGAGAGAGAATGGAGACCAGCCTGTTAGATTTTTTTTTTAATATGTTTCTACTTGGGGGCACATTATGGACTAGGGCAGCAGCACTAGAGTCAAAGCTCTACATCCTCTCTTGAGCGATACATGTGACACGAAGGAACTCTGACCCAAGGGGGAAGCGTCTGACTGAGTCGTCACCCACTCCTGGCACAGTAAGTGCCAGACAGCCTGCAGGCAGCGTGCAGAACCAAGCAGACGGAAGAGTTTTAGAAAGAATCTGCGTGTTATTCTTAAGGGTGGGCAATGTGGAATGTAAACCCCCATAAAGCAACATTTGATTTTTCTGCTATAGACATTTCAACTTCCTAGAAGTTCCTATGCATATAAATCAATCACGGCCATTTAACTAAACACTCTATTTTCTACTGGAGCGATAGCACAGCGGTAGGGCGTTTGCCTTACAAGCAGCCAACACGGCCGACCTGAGTTCGATTCCTCCCCCCCCTCGGAGAGCCCGGCAAGCTACTGAGAGTATCTCGCCCGCACAACAGAGCCTGGCAAGCTCCCGGTGACGTATTCAATATGCCAAACACAGTAACAACAAAGTCTCCAATGGAGACGTTACTGGGCCTGCTCGAGCAAATCGATGAACAACGGGAGGACCCTGCCGTGCCGTGACTCTATTTTCATTCACTTCCCCCATTGGTACATAAATAAGTGTAGCTACTATTCCCAATTTTTGTCTTGTTTTGTTTTCCTTTTGGGGTCACATCCAGAGATACTCCAGGGTTACTCCTGGCTCTGCACGCAAGAATCACACCTGGTCGTGCTCAGTGTGCTGGGGATAAAACCCAGATTGGCCGTGTGTAAGGCAAGCACCCTACCTGCTGCACTACTGCCTCTGGCCCTATTCCCGACTTTTAAAGATCTTCATTTACAAGGCATCAGGACACCTCCCAACTCTCCCTTAATTGTACTGTGCTTTAAATATGCTCATTGGTTTCATGTTCTTTTAGTCTCTTAAAACACATCAAGAGTTTTCTTGACTGAAAATTTTCTATCTCTGGATTCCTGTAATTTCACATCGTGAGCAGATGGGAAAGATTCATCTGATTAACTGTTGAGTCAACTTCCCATTTGATAAACAGACTAAATATCTTTTGAATCCCAGGAGTCTGATGTTTAATTCATGAGTTAGTCTATTAATCATTTATGCTCAAGTTTTGTCATTTTTTACTCATGTCTGGATTCCATCAGTGCTTATGTGCAAAGTCTATATCTAAATTTATACAAAATAAAAATAAAAACTAAAAGTGCTATAATTCTTATTCTATAACCACTTGTTTTTAATAATTTCCAAATGGAGTCCAATTCCTTACCAATAACTATGAATATAAAAATTGCTAAGAAAAATGAAAGAACAGAGGAAAAATTAGTTTTTATACCATGTATTTATACAGGAAAAAGTACCCCTAGGATGCTATGGGTATTATTTATGGGTACTATTTTATTATCAAAGCTAATTAAAATATCAGTCAATTTTTAATATGTTTACTCATCTATCCACCTATTTATGATCAAACCCTTTCTCTCTCTCTCTCTCTCTCTCTCGCTCTGCTATAGGGCAAGAGTCAACTATTTCATATTGAAGTATTTTTCATTGCCATTAACTTAGCAAAGTATATATTACTAGTTCCACTGACTATAATTTCCTAAAATCTTAAAAGTTTTAACAACCAGTGCTAAGGTTTTTTGTCTTGTCACTTAAAAGTCTTTGTTTACAATTTTGCAATTTGTTATTGTTTTGATTGGCGGACCATACCCAGCAATGCTTGGGAGTCACTCTCAGCTATGCTTAATTTTTGCTAGAACTTGAACCCAGGCAAGTGCTCCATCCAAGACACAGCTTCCACTACTCATGCATTATTTTGTTTCCTGTGTATACGCTCTCCTTTTTCTTGAAGTTTATCCCTTGTATTTTTCCAATTCATAGCTTTCTCAGTAACTAGGTAGTATCAGGTACTCTGTGTTTTATGTAAATGCTGCCCCAACGTCTCTTAGTATCTCAAACACTATGACACATGCTATATAGTCACTGCTTTTAAAATTGTTTCAGGCTCAGCTTGACCTTTAAGAAATCTTGAAGAGTAATTTTATTAGCAGAATTTCTCAGTTCTGCCTGACCTCATGCAAAATATTTTCCCTGTGCAGCCAGGATCCTGTCTCAGACCTAAATCTGCCCACTGACCTACAATACAGCTCCTCCTTTCTGTTTTCTTTCTGTTTTATTATCAAAGCTAAGTTTAACATCAGTGCGGCTTCTCCTACATATTTTCTTTACGAACAGGAGAGCCTCACTTTCTTTTCTGAAACCTCTCCATAGAGCCTCCTACTAAATCCAGCACTCCTTCGTGCCTGTCAGTCAACTTAGAAGTAAGAGAAAATAACATGGACACAATTTCTGCTGAATAGGATGTTAAGTTGTCCTCTTTTCCAGAAATTTCTATTTCCATAGGAGAGATTTTAATTTTTTTGGCCCATGAACAGCACGTAAAGGAACTTTGCTGAAATGCTAACCCATATCCCAACCACATTTGGCGGTTATGAAAGAGTGTAACAGGAGCCTGGTTATGATGGGAATCCAGGGACACGCATGATTGAATCAGAACCAGCCTGATCATCAAGTATGAAACCTTTCCCTGTGTAAGAGATTAATTCCTCTGGGATTACATGAAATCATCACAGCTTGTTTGTGAATAAATCATATTCTACTGCAGACTAGATCTAAATCATTTACAATATATTTCATATATTTCTCAACTTGTTTTTTTTTTAATTGTTGTTGCGGTCTTCTGCGTTCTCCTTACCATCAAATAAAAACTGTGAAAAGTTTTTATTTGATTAAAAAAAAACTTTTATCAAAAAAAGGAGCATATAAATTAACTTCTTTGGCATCTTAAGACCTAGAAAAGCAGTATAAGTGTTTTTTCAACCACTGCCTACAAATTTTGACAACTGGGATTTAAACCCATCAGTGGCGAAAAGTACGATAGCTTAAATAAGAAAGTTTTGCTTTGGCAAGAAAGGATTTAAGGGGCTGGAGCAATAGCACAGCGGGTAGGGGTTTGCCTTGCACGCGGCCAACCCAGGTTCGATTCCCAGCATCCCATATGGTCCCCCAAGCACTGCCAGGAGTGATTCCTGAGTACAAAGCCAGGAGTAACCCCTGAGCATCGCCAGATGTGACCCAAAAAGCAAAAAATAAAAATAAAAATAAAAGAAAGGATTTGAGTGTAAGTTAAAAGGACCATCCCTACCTTGCGCTGTTATCCAAACAGAGGTATTCCCTTGGGTCAGCAGCACTAGCATTGGTTGTTTTGACACCTTTGTCAATAAATAAGCCAGCCTGGAAAATATAATAATGGGTTCGAATATATACATAATGAGTTATATTTTTATATATAATAATTTATGAAATTAGTCAACATGTCTACCAAAAAAAAAAAATAAGGGAGAAGAGCATAGATAAGAGCATAGATAACATGAAAATAGCTACTTTTTCTATAGTTTCTATAATTTCACTCAGTGAGTGAATATTTATGAATTCAACTAGCGTTAAATTTGTGAAAGGCTAGAGCAGTAGTACAGCGGACAGGGTGCATGCCTTGCACATGGCTGACCCAGGATCAATCCCCAGCATTCCATATGATCTTCAAGCACCACCAGGAGTAACCCCTGAGCATCTCTGGGTGTGACCCAAAAAGCAAAAAAAATAAAAATATCTTTATAGTAGGCACCAAGCATTATACATTAACAAGAAAACCTTGTTCTCTGTTACTATCAGAAAATAGCAAGAAGATATGCAATTAAATAACTTTTTATATACAATATTATAAGCATATGATACATATAATAAAGAAAATAGATATTTGGCAATGTATAAGAAGTGCACCAAGAGGGGACCTGTTGCAAAAATGGGAAAGGATTGAAGGAATGTTTCCTAAAAGAAGAGACCTTCTAATGCTCAAAACACAAATAATGGATGCAAAGAAAGGTATTGAACACTGAACCCTGTGTTCCCATTGTTCATCGATTTGCTCAAGTGGGCCAGTAAAGTCTCCATTTAAAGACTTGTTGTTACTGTGTTTGGCATATTGAATACATCGCAGGTAGCTTGCCAGGCTTTGCCATTCGGGCGAGATACTCTCGGTAGCTTGCCGGGCTCTCCGAGAGGGGCGGAGGAATAGAACCCGGCTCGGCCGGGCTGGCTGCGTGCAAGGCAAACGCCCTACCACTGTGCTATTGCTCCAGCCCAGAGAAAGGTATTAAGCAGGCAAAAAGTTAAGCTGAGGATAAAGGGTATGGGGTGGATATACGTAGCAGCTAAGGAACCCAAAGGAAAGCGTTCAAGGGAATCCTTTATACAAAGTCACAAAATAAGATAGTGTGGCATGTGTCAGGGGAAAAAGAATCCTTCAAAGACTAATAGAAAGCTCTCAGAGAGGGAAGATAAATGCCAGTAACACAGAATTGATTCAAAAATCAGGAAAATGGGACATTTAATGAAGACAACATAATCAACGACACTGTAAGAAACAATACTCTAGCTAGAAGATGGAGAAGGACCTGGTAAGAGAACAAAAAGGAGACAGTGGTAAAAAAATCAAGTAGGAGGAGACTGCCACGGTCCAGAAATGTGACGTGTAAGTTATGGTAGAAGTGACAGGGATGTGGAGTGAGAATTCCTTGGTGACAGATAGCAGCTAGGAATTAATTAAATATCTAAGGGACAGGCAACAGTAAAAGTTCATGTGTTTCCAGTCTGCTTGCTAGACTTTTTATTTCTAGAAATAGATGTGCGCTGGAGAGACAGAACAGTGAGTCAAGCACTTGTCTTGCATGTGGCTGACCCGAGTTCGATTCCCTGCACTAAATATGATTCTCCAGAGCACACCAGTAGAGATTCATGAGCACAGAGCATGAAAGGAGTACTGAGCACAGGGAGATGTGGTACAAACCGGAAGAAGAAAGAAACATGAGAATAAGTAGAAGAATGAAAATAAGGATATTATGGAAGGTAAAAGTAATAGAAAAATATCATACTCAAAGCTGGTAAAATTAACATTGCAAAATGGGCATCCTACCCAAACACAGTTTCAACGCAACTGCTACCAAAATTCGACTAACCTTCAAATTGGCCTTCTTTCAATATAGCAACCATCACTGAAATTCATATGAACCACAAAAAAAAATTCCCAATACCCACAGCAAACCTGAGAAAAACATAAAAGACATCCCAAAGACATAAAAGATCACCTAAGCTGGAGCAACATACAGCTGGGAAGGCATTTATAACTCGGGTTCAATCTCCTGCAGCCGATTTTTGTCCCCTGAACACTGAAGAGTGCTGGGTGTAGCCCCCCAAGTCAAGACAGAAATTTTTAAAAACTGAATTACCACTCTGAATGGGGCTGAAGAGATAATACAGTGGGCAGATGCACACAGGCAGAGTAATTTCTGAGTTCAGAGCCAGGAGTTACCCCTGAGCATCACTGGATGTGACCCAAAACCAAAACAAACCTTCCCGTCAAAAAAATAAAAAGTTAACTCGAAATGGATTGAGCATTTGGATTTAGAACGCAGCCATAAAATACTCTGGAGGGTGGAGGTGTGGTGGAAAACACAGCAAAACAGTCCAGGATATTGGCTTCACTGATGCCTTTTGGGTATTCAACCCCCAGGCCAAGGAAAACAAAAATAGGAATGCCTCACGCTAAAGAGCTTCTGCAAAGTTAAAGAAACTATCATTAAGATAGGGTGAAATCCTACCAGATGAGACAAATATCTACACACCCTTCATCCAGCCAAAGGTTAGATTCCAATATTTATCTGCGTAACTCAAAAAGCTAGCAACAAAGGAAGCAAACAACCCCATCAAAAATGGGAGAAAAGTTGAACAGACACTTCACCAGAGAAGAATACAGAGTTCACAAGGCACATGAAGGAAAAAAAGAAAAAAAAAAAGCTCAGTCCTGATTATCAGAGAAATGCAAATCAAAACAACAAAGACATGAATAGCAAAAAAGGCAAGAAACAAAAAGAGAAGGAATACAGAGAAAGACTCACTAAGAACGGGGAGGGAAATGAATCTTCCTAACACCTTGATGAAAACAAGTTTGCCTCTATGGAAAATAGGAATATTATTAAAATATTAAAATAGGTCTACCATCATGGGCTGGAGCAATAGTACTGCAGGTAGGGGACTTGCCTTGCAAGCAGCTGATCTGGGTTCAATCCCAGAGTCCTATATGGTCCCCTAAGGACAACCAGGAGTGATTCCAGAGTGCAAAGCCAGGAGTAATGCTTGAGCACTGCCAGATGTGGCCCTCAAATAAAAACAAAATAGATCTACCATATGATCCAGCAATACCACTCTTAGGTATCTCTTCTAAGGGCACAAGAAACACAAACTCAGAAAGACACATGTACATCTAGGCTTACTACATTGGTATTCACAAAAGCCAATACCTGGACACTACCCAAGTGCCCAAAGACACACGAATATATAAAGAAAGTGTGGAAAAGACAAACAAGGAAATACTAATCTAAAAATGAAAAAAAAGATAAAATCTCTCCTTTTGTTGACAGCATGGGTAAAACTGGAGGGAATCAAGCTAAGTGAGGTAAGTCAGAGGGAAAAAGATAAACATCAGATGTTCCCACTTGTACGTAGTTTATCAAGAAACAAAGGTAACAGACCAAACCAAAAACTCTTAAGCTCTGATTGCAGAACTGAGGTTAACAAAGAGGGAGAAGCTAGCTCTGTGGACTGTGTAGAGAGATATCAGTACTTGGATGCTGAGTGTGATGTAGGTTTGCCTACTTTTAAGAAACATGAAATTGTAACCCTAAAACACACACAGACACAAAGCCTTGTAAGCCAATGTCATTCTCAATTAAAAAAGAAAAAAAAAGGAAGCGTATCAATAGGAAAATGGACAAAGCACAACAGAAAAAAGAAGCTTAATTTCACAAACAATAAAAGAATTACAAACTTATTTTTAAAAAAGAAAGCAAGTTTGGGGGGTCTGGGGGGAGTAGTTTAGGGGTATCACCTCCAGCAGTGCTCAGGACTTACTCCTGGCTCTATCAGGAATCATCCCTGGTGGAGTTTGGTGGACCATATAGGGCGCCGGGGATCAAACCCAGGTCAGCAGCATGCAAGGCAAGCACCTTACACACTATACCATCGCTCCAGCCCCAGGGAATAGGTTTAGTAATGAGGACATTTCATTTTACATGAACCATAGGGACAAGTGTTTGTGTATTTATGACTGACACAAAGATAACATGTCATTCTCTGAGGGCTCCAAACAATTTGGTTCCCTTTGATGATAGACTTCTCTTCCTGGACTATCAGTCCCAAATTTAATGAATGAAAACAAACCTAACCATCTACTCATTATTTAGACCTAACACTCTTATAATTACTAGATTAAATTTCTACAAATCTTCATGGTAATCTTTAAAAATTAAGTAGTACAGTGGGTAAGGCACTTGCCTTGCCCACAGCTAACCTGAGTATGATCCCCAGCACCCCATATGGTCCACCAAGCCCACCAGAAGTGACCCCTGAGAGCCAAGGTGAGAGTAAGTCCTGAGTACTACTGGGCATGACTCAAAATAAATAAATATATAAATATTCGAACAGATTTTTATACCACTTATAATTGGAAATTTTGAGAACTTTTACTCAGATATATGCTAAGTGAGATATATGCTAATATATTAGTCTTAATATATGTATTAATAATTAGTATTAATATATATTAATAAAATTAGTATTAATATGTAATGCATGGGGCTGGAGTGATAGCACAGTGGGTAGGGCATTTGCCTTGCACGCGGCCAACCTGGGATTGATTCCCAGCATCCCATATGGTCCCCTGAGCACCGCCAGGAGTAACTCCTGAGTGCAGAGCCAGGAGTAACCCCTGTGCATCGCCAGGTGTGACCCAGAAAGCAAAATAAATAAATAAATAAATAAATAATATGTGATGCATTTCTTCCATATAGACTTAAGCCTCAGTGGTACAGGAAAAGAAGATGGTCATTACTATTAAATTTTGAACCTTTGATGCAGGGTCCAGTGCCAACCCTCTAGTTGTGTTTGTCAAATGAGCCAGCTTGAGCAAATCGATGAACCAGCCGGTCAGCACAGTACGGAACAGTACAGTATTCATATGTGATAATACTAATAGTTATTAATATTATCCATTCATCTCATAAAAATCCCACTTCTGCGACTAGGGAGACATGTGGCAGGGCAGGGACACATGCCTTGTTTGCAGGATAAGCAGCCCTGGGTTTGATCCCCTGGGCTCACAGTGTCCTCCAAGCACTGCAGGAAGTGGTCCCCGGGCACCACCAGGTACAAACCAAAACCAAAAAGGAAAGAAATTCTAATTCAGGGTAAAGTGTGTCCTCTCCAAACTGCTTATCCAGTGACTTCAAAGCTCTTCAAACTATAACACACAAGTTTTTGTTTTTGTTTCCCCCCCTTAGGGCTCCTCTTAATAATCCAAAACAAAAAGGATTACTTGAAATTTGATGTGATTCCCATCAGGACAAGGACTCAGGAACTGAGTGGATAAAGGAACCGTGGTGACACTGCATATTCCATTATATATTCAATACATGTTCCGTTACGCATTCAACATATACATATAACGGAGTATTGCGTGGTCATTAGGAAAGATCAAGATCAAAGATCTTGGCTTTTGTTCCAGCATGGATGCCACGGGATGAACTCTGGCTAAGAGAAATAAATTAGAAGTAACAGATGTTCTCACTGGTTGGTGCATATGAAGAAACAAAGCGGGCCCGGCACAGCAGCACAGTAGGTAGGGTGTTTGCCTTACACAGGGCCTTAGTCAACGTGGGTTTGATACCCAGCATCCCATAAGGTCCCCTCAGTGTGGCCCAAAAAACTAAACAAACAAACAAAAAGTGGGGAAGTAATGAAGTTCAGCAGAAACAAATCCTGCAGCTCTACAGAGCTGAGGAGCCGGAAGCGGGCGCGGTGAGCAGCTCCAATGGAATGAGAACTGTTGGCTTTCCGGTGCCGGGGCGCGGCAGCCCTGTCTGCTCACAAACATCTCCTCCCTTATACACTACAATGTTACCTCAAGAGAAAGTAAAATGTAGAAAAATAGTCTGGGCGTGTTAATCCGCCAATAAAAATATGAATGATGTGCATTATGAGCACACAATGACCCAAGTGTACTTATCACCAAGAGGGTGTGGGGTGAATGCCAACTCCCCAACAAGAAACCGGAGCTCTTGCAAGACCTGAGGTTTACGAGACCTGTATCACATTTAATTCGGCAAAATATTCTTAAGCACTACTTTACAATTTACAGGATTAACATTAATGCCCAATAGTGTGTGTGTGTGTGTGTGTGTGTGTGTGGAAGGAGTCTTACATATATGTATATAGAGAGAGGTAAAGGTAAAGGTAAAGGCCCTCCCGTTGATCGTCGATTTGCTCGAGCGGGCCCAGTAACGTCTCCATTGGAGACTTTTGTTGTTACTGTGTCTGGCATATTGAATACTCTCGGTAGCTTGCCGGGCTCTCCGAGAGGGGCGGAGGAATCGAACTCGGGTCGGCCATGTTGGCCACTTGTAAGGCGAACGCCCTACCCGCTGTGCTATCGCTCCAGCCCATAGAATAGAATAGAATAGAATAATATACTCTATGAACCGGGCAAACTAAGAGGGATTAAATGTTCTTCTCAACCCTTAGAAATCTATTATCAAATATACAACCCTAGAAACACGCAATGATGTTTACAACTAGAAAGAGGGTGAAAAAGGAGTAGAAATGGAAGGGACAAGGATGAGGATGAGGATTCGCGGGTCAAGTGCATTAGAATTACCCAGAGAGCATGTGCCTGTTTGTTGTCATTTATTCCCCTGCATGCAGAAATGAAGAGTCTCTTATCTACATCCTGAATGTCCAACGGTTATTGGTTTGCATATTTAGTCACTAATCATTTTCTTTGGTTACAAGTTCTTACCAAATGGCCAATTCTCAGTTGTCATCACAGTGGTCCATCCTTCAACTCTGCCTGCCAAATTTACTAATTTTAACAGTTATAAAACCTACCTTAAAACTTGAGTGGACCCTGTTGTTATAAAAGATACCCAATGGGGTGAGTTCTGGTTTGGCTGAGAGCTGCAATCCACTAGACTCCCCAGTAGCTTCCTTGTGAAATAAATACCATATTCCAGCATCCTGTAATTAAAGGGGCAAGATCATTAAAACCCTTATGTTACCAAATCGCCCTCTGAAACACCCTCAAACAAGTTTAACTATTTGAATAGTAATTGTCACCAGTTTCAGTAGAACAACTATGACAAAAGCTGAGTACACGCCTAACACTCTCAGAGTAGATTCATTTATCCTTACCGCATGTGGTGTGTGTGTGTGTGTATGTGTGTGTGTGTGTGTGTGTGTGTGGTGGGGGGGAGAGGTGGAAGGAAATTTAACTGTGCTCACAAAAACTGGGAAGGAATAGAAACAAGGTGGTTGGCACACCAATTTATTTTCAAAATAACTTTCCATCATTTTTTTAAATGAACTTTGTCGTTAGTTTAGTTGTTTTTTTTTTTAAGTTGTTATGCAGCATGAGAGCCAAACCAGCCTCACTTCCTTCCCACTGACCAAGACAGCACATTCTTTTAGCAATATGGGTTTTTTTTCTGTTTACTTCCAAACCTGATCAATAGATGAGTCATACCTATTAAACAACTATCTGCCAACATGCAGAGCTCACTAAGTTCTTTCAAACAACTCCAATGCCCTTCCTGTCCCAAGGCAAATTTTTGCCAAAGGGGATGGGGGTGGGGAAAAAAGCCACCACTACATGTATGAATCAGGATGCTTGTCTCAGCCAGGACCCGTCTGTCCAACTCCAATGTGAACAGGAGCAGCAGAAGAGGGAAATGCGGGCGACTCCAACTGAGACTTAAAAATTGAAGCTAAATGTTCAGTTCCTAAGACCATTCTTCATTTTCACAGTTGAATTAAAATCCAATCCAATAAGAAGTTAAAGTAAAGCTCTTCACATTGCAGAACTTTGAGTAAACAGATTGTTGAAAGCTAAACACACAGTCTATTAAAAAATGGGGCAAATTCCAACTTGTCAAACATTTACTTAGTGTCTGCTATGTGCCAGTAAGTGAAAAATTCTTCTCAAAGAATTCAGGTTTAAGAGAATTACCAAGATAATAAAAATATATGTAGTAAGGATTATATTCAACTTAAATACATCTTAAATTCAGTCTTACTTGGAGGGGTGGAGGGGAGGGCCACAGCTGGCAATGCTCAGAGTTTCTCCTGGCTCTGCACTCAGGAATTACTCCTGGAAGTGCACTCTTAGACCATATGGGATGCCAGGGATCAAACCCAGGCCAACTGTGTGCAAGGCAAGTGCCCTACCCACTGTATTATCTCTCCAACCTCCAATCTCAAGCACAGTCTTTTGAAAGCACAGAGGAGAGAGAAATTGGGGACGGCGGATAGACCTACATACAAAAACTGAGTAAGATTTTAACATCTCTCCATAATGAAAGTTTACAGATAGGTCTCCATCACACAAAAGTGAAACTGGGGCAGTGTTTGCCAACTCCCCTCTACGGGGGCACAAACACAACAAATGAAGACTTGGAGTGCTGTCAACAAGGCTCGTGCCAGACTCAGAAACTGCAGGCTGATCACACCCCTGATGGCACAGTGGCACCTGTGGGCTGGGGGTGGGGGAGTTGAGGGTGTGGGACGAAGTGGTATTTAATGAAAAGGGGAGCAGCTGTTCCCCATTAAACATGATAGTGTTAACACAGGCAAAGGGCACTTTGTGAAAGGCTGTGTGGAAAGGTACAAGGAAGGGTTGGCATCTGAGAAGGTTTTGTGGGGTTTTGTGGGGTTTTGTGTTTGGAAGTTTTGTTTGTTTGAGGAAACCCTCTACCAAAAATGAACTCCACTGAGATAGTTACAGTGAGAGAAAAGAAAGCAACACAGAAAAGGGAGGAAAAGAAACCTCTGATGGGAAAGATAAAAACCTCCCTTTCTTCCCTCAGCATTTCTGGCCATAGCTACCCTTTGCACTTCTCAGAGACACTGCAATTCACTTTGATCTTCAACCCCCGAGTTCTGAAAAACAACTAAAGGGAATCTCTGCTCTGGCTGTTCCTTTGTAATTAAGAGATGAGAAGATGACCCTGCGGTTCGCTGCCTATCAGGCTCTGGGCCATCTTCCAATTACAGATCCTCAACAGAAACTCCTTGTCAGCTCACCAAATAGTGGAAGAAAACGAATGCAAGGAACCCAAAAGTGAAAAAAAAAAAAAGACCCAGATCTCTGTCCTGTCAAATACAAATTTTTTACTGTTATGTTTATCAGATAACCAAGGACATGAACGTCACCTTTTCCAAGTGGTATCTCTGTAATTATTTCAAAGAAATACTCCTTTTAACTCACCTTACTTCTTCCTGGGAAATAATATTTAGATATTTCTCACTTCTCTGATTTTAATAGCCCTGATACATAACCATGAGTATTAAGGTATCACTGCAAGTCATAATTCTAAACTATCGCTGTCCAAATAGGTATAAATACAATAGGATAAAAAGGTCTTAAAGATTTTGGGCTGGAGAGATCAAACTTTGTGTAGGGCACTTACCTTGCACGTGTACGGCACAAACACAACAGATGAAGACTAGGTTTAATCCCCAGCACCTCACACAGTGGCCCAAAGCCCTAACGGGACTAATCTCTGATCACAGAGCTAAAGTAACTGAGGACCAACAGGGATAGCCCAACAACAACAACAACAACAAAATTCCATTCTCATCTCATGAGAATATTCTCATATCATACCATTTTAAACTACACAATACAATTAATAAATGTAAATCTTGCCAGAAATGTTTCTACCTTCCAAATATAGCTCACCTACATGCTTACATTATTTTTATGCTTCTGAAAGAACTCAAGGCACCCAGTTGAGTTTAAATGCTTTATTACAATGAACTTTAAACACCCTACATTAAAGAAAAGTGTGCCCTAAACTCAGTGACAACTGTCACCGCACTCCACACAGCAATCCATTCCGATAAATAAAATCTAAAGGCTTTCCCACTAAAAAACAAAAATGATGAGTCATTTGGCCATACACAAGTTGAATAGAAACTAGGGGTGGAAGGGGTGGAGCTGCATCCTACCCTAAAAATAAACCCAGAAAATGACATGCCCACCTGCAGACTGTCACTTCCTTCCCTCCATCTGTCATCTGTCTCATAGATCCCAAATAGCCAAGATGATTTAGAAGAAACAAAGAAGCACCTCAACCGTCTTACCCTCATAATGAAACGAGCAATATCAGAAAACATTCTCAGATTAGATTTGTCCCACATTAATATATGCCAAACACAGTAACAAGTCTCATGATAGAGACATTAGTGGGCCCACTCGAGCAAATCGATGAACAACGGGAGGTCGTTGATACTGTGATAATATATACCAGAATATATATTGAGTGACCCCTCCAAAAACAACAGACACAAACCTCAAGGTACTTTAATATGATTTACCTGGGAGCCTGCGGCTGCATTATTAATCAGGTTGTTGTTGGGATGAGCAATCCAGAAAGTTGAAACGGCCCTGCAAAGCAATTTTTTAAAATTGATTTACACATTCTTCATGAAAAAATCTTGCCCATTAAAACCCCACCCCGCCCCCTTCCCCAAAAGTCAACGGCCGTGACAATCACACGCGTGTTTTGGGGTTGGGATTTCCCTCAATTACTCACATGCAGTCGGTGGCAGGTACGGGCACGTAATTCCCGAATACTTTCTCTCGCATAGCGGTGCACACTGAGATATTGCGATCAGTGGGGAGAAGGGTGCCCGGCTTGGTGAGGAGTCCCAGATTGTGAAACAAAGTATTTCTCTGTTCAATACCATCCTCCAAAAAGAAACAGTGGCCCAGTGTGTCAAAGCCAATGGTGTCTTTGATCTGCAGAAATACAAGTGTATAATGCCATTGCTAACAAGATTGATTGCGGTTTAAGAGACAAGTGCTATTCAGTGCAGCATGCTAGTCCAGGCACCAATAAAGAAAAAAACAAGTCCAAATCTTAGCTGAAGAGGCCAGATGGCTGCTTTTACTGCTCTCTTCAGAGAATAGTTTGGGCAGAAAAAGAGATTCCCCAACCCCCAAAATACAAAGCGATAGAGGAAAAAAAAAAACCAACAGCAGAATTCTCAGTAAAGGCAGGCAACCTTATATGGTGCAAAGCTTATGGAGATAAAAGTGAGAAGCCACGAGAATTGAGTGTTACAATTTCGACAACGTCCTTCAACAATGCAAGGCCACTTACCAGCAAGCCATTTGTGCCATGCACCGTGATGCACCGGGAGAAGCTGTGATGGATGGACAGGCCGTCCACCAGTGTGCCGGGTCGGTACCCCCCTTTAGAATCCACATCACCACACAGGTGAAAATGGACCGGATAGCGTCCCAGCTGCTGCTGGCCCATGTACTTCAGCTCCACATAGGAGAGATGGACTGATGTGAAATTCTTACTGATCTGCATGGCAAAGTGAAATCGAGCTGATACACTTCAAAGTAGGAAAGCAGCAGACACCAGTGTTCGAATAGGAAATGTTGGAGGGAAATATCTATTTAAACCATTCAATATGCATCCTTTTTTTTTTTTTTTTTGGTTTTGGGTCACACCCGGCGATGCTCAGGGGTTACTCCTGGCTCATGCACTCAGGAATCACTCCTGGCAGTGCTCGGGGGACCATATGGGATGCTGGGAATCGAACCAGAGTCGGTCATGTTGGCTGCGTGCAAGGCAAACGCCCTACCCTCTGTGCTATCGCTCCAGCCCCGTACATCCTATTTTTATTAGATGTTTCACCTGCAAAGTCTGTAAAAGTCTATAAAAATCATCCCATATCTAGCCACTATGGAAAGTTGTAAACAGGATCTTCCTAAAAATCTAGAAATACACCGCGATCTGGCAATTGGACTTCTTGGGAAAATAGCCAAAAGACACAAAAAACACTAACTTGAAAAAAAAAATACCTGTGTCCCATTTTGGAGCAACGGTATTTATAATAGCCAAGACACTGAAACAACCATGGTGAATAGCAACAGTGGAATATTATTCCATGGTTAAAAGAAGAGAATTCCACCATGAATGATAGTGTACAGGGACCTTAGAGGCATTATACTAAGTGAAATAAGTCAAAGAAAGACGGTTTCTCTATAACCTCACTTAAATGTGGACTCTAGACAAAAAGTCAAGCTCACACAGACATTGAAGCCTCGTAGGGGTAATTACCAGAAGAGGAAGAAGGTAATCTAACAGTACAAACTTCCAATGCAAGATAAACCCACAGATGCAACATACAATGTGCTGTCTGTAGTCAGTACTGCTGTATGAGATGAAGGATATGGTTAGAAGTTTATCACAAATAATGTGTTTCTTTTTACCATCTGAGATCATGGCTATTAGCTCAACCTATTATAGTAATCATTTCACAAAGTATGTAAATAAACTATCAAGTTATATGTCTAAAACTTAGTTATATATATATAAATATATATATCTCGATTATTTCTCAATCAAACTAAGAAAATTTGTCTCATTAGGAATAAAAGGAATTGAGACCAGGAGAGCTACAGAAATGATGGCTGTATCATGTGTCCGGATTTGCTCAAATATTTTGGACGCTTTCAGTCTCCTCCATTCTTTGATTTCTATAAATAGCACTGTAGTCTGATAGCTATTTCTAAATCCGCCCTCAATGTTTTCGCTAACAAATAACAAAAAGTACTTTAAGGTTCACCACTGGAGTCTTCTCAGTACTTTTTAAACACTGGAATCTCAGCTACACTGCTGAAAACGGGAGAGTAACATTGACCAGTGTTCTGAAATCCACGACCAGACAGGTTGCTCACAACCAAGGCCCACTGAATATACAAAAATTCCTTTTATAACACATGGAGCAGAACCTAGAGCAATGCCCACCATCAAACATAAATTTTTTATGTGCATATTACCATTGAAATCCCTTATTATACAAAAGAAACAACCAATTCTTTCAGGGTTCCAGGTACTAATACAAAGATTTTTGGCGGGGGTGAGGGGTAGTGGGGAGGTGGGTGCGGGTCTCTAAGTTTTTCTTCTCAGTGTATTTAACTCCTAAATGTCCTAGCCATAGGGTCCATTTACAAAATAAAGACATAAACTTCCCCTTTTAGTTATCAGAAATATTGCTGTCCAGCCAGAGAGACAGTACAATGGGTAGAGCATTTGCCTTGCACACAGCCAGCCCAGGTTCAATCCCCAGCATCTCACAGAGTCCCCAAGCACTGCCAGAAGTATCCCCTGAGATAAACCAGGCATGGTCCCAAAACAGAAACCAAAAAAAGATACTGTGATTCTTTGGCAGAGAAATGAAATACAATTTCTTTTTTAATATCCATACAGATGTTTCTAAATGAGTGCCTATCAAGCAGGAGTTCAGAGAAATAAACGAATCCTTTTGCTCACCATGACGTGTCCCCCAAAGGTGTCATAATCAAAGAACTGACACGAGTTTTCAGCGTAGCACGAGTCTTCCATTTCTCCTTGAATCACAACATTCCGAGTAAGGATTCCAACCTCCGCTCTCATGTCTACACCATCTATGATCTCCCCCATGTGCAGGAACTGAGGGATTTCTAGATGACACGGCCACGAAAAAGAATGTTAGAACAAAGGATACAGGAAACTTCCGTTGAAAAGAAAGTTGTCTCCTGTCTGTAATCCCATCGCATTATCAAAATTTATCACCTGCTCCCATTTCTTTAAAACCTCAGAATCCCAGGAAGCAAGGATTTTATGGATTATTTCATTTAACTGCCTGTTCAATGTCAAATTCCTCACTACCAATGTCAAGCACACACACAGGCCAAGAGCTGGCTCCCATGGATAACTGCTCAATCCACTCCTGGAGTGTCAGTAACGTGACCAAATTCTATTTAAGGGTCCATATTCTCCTTTGCTTTGTAGTTCTTGTCCATAACTTCTTTTGTTCTTGAGAGAGGACATGAAGAACCAAATGCAATCATGGTTTTGTGATATTGATAATAATGTGACAAGTTGTTTTTGCTTCCACATCAAACCTAAAGAAAGCTCCCCTTCTGACTTGAATTTTGTTGTGTATTTCTTTAAGTTCCCTTCTTTATTGGAAGCTCTGAAGCAATTCAGTAATGGGCGCTTATCAGATGCTCCTATTATATAAACTCACGAAGGGGGAAAAAAAAAAGCAATGAAGGAATTGAGATCATGGGGATTCATTATCATGTAGACTTGTTAATGAGACTGGGAATTTCCAAACAAAATTGATGCCAGGTGGTAGCGTAGCTTTTTGGGCTTTTTAGTTTTGTTTTCTGTGTATGCCCTAGATTATCAAGAAGGAAAAGCAGAACAGGGAATAAAGTACAGAGAAAAATGAGCCAATCATTTTTTTTTTGAAAGCAAAAATTTTCCCTTGAACTTCAAAGCTCTAAATTACCCATTCAGTGAGTACTTATTAAATAGTTATGTAAATGCTTTTGTTTTATACCATAAATGTATAATTGGGTACAGAAGCAAGGAAAGCAATACAGTGAGTGAAATGCACAATGAATCCTATAATTAAGGCAATGTACTAAGAAGGCCTGCCCATTAGCAGACTCAGAATAAATACCTTGTACATGTCAGCCATTCTTTCTAAACATTAAGGAATCACATTATACATTGCATTACATAAAAAAAAGATTATTATTCAAGATTAGGAGCGAAAACAGAGTTTTATAAAAATACTTGTTTTTTGTTGTATTGATTTTGTTTTGAGACCATACCTAGCAGTGCTCATGGCCTACTCCTGGCTCTGTGCTCAGGGATCTTTCTTTCAGAGTCCAGGGGACCATGTGTGGTGCCCGGAATTGAAATCAGGCCAGCTGCGTGCAAAGCAAATGTCTGACCCACTGTACTATCGTTCTGGCCCCATAAATTATGCTTTGGCCCCATTTTACATACCAGTGAAATCTACAAGTTTTGCCAAGGAAGAATAAATAAAATTCCTGGAAACTCAGGGCCAAGGGAGTTGCTCAGCCATGCACAGCACATGTCTTGCACATGTGAAACCCTGAGTTCTCTCCTTGGCACCCCAAAAGGGGAAAACAAAAATCAGGTTAACTTTCTTAATCAAAAGAAATATTTCTATTAAAAGTGGATGTAGTTTGGGCCAGAAAAAAACAGTACAAAAGTTTAGGCTCTTGTCTCACATCTTGCTGACCTGTGTTCAAACCCCCAGTACCACATAAAGTCCCTAGCACCTGAGTACCACTCGAGGTCAAACCTCTCTGCCCCCAAAACAGTCAGTCTCGTTTAAGGCTGGATGTATTATTTGAGAGTGGAAATTTTTAAGAAAAGAGTTGAAAACACCTTGGTGGAGCTTAAAAACACACTAACTAGTACATTTCTTTTCAATAACAACCACAGAAACACTGATTTGTGTGCCAACGTGATTGACAGTAATATTAACACTACCCCCAAATTTTACCTAACCTCTCTGGGACATAGTGTTCAATGTGTTCTGCCTCTAAGCCCTTCAATACTGATGATTATCAAGGTGGGGTGGGTGATAATATAGTAATAATAAGATGAGGAGGAGGAAGGAGAGAAAGAGGAGGAGGAGGAGGAGGAGGAGGAGGAGGATGAGGAGACGGAGGAGGAGGAGGAGGAGAAGACAGAGGAGGAGGAGGAAGAGGAGGAGGAGGAGAAGAAAGAGGAAAAGGAGGCAGGAGGAAAGAAGAGAACAGGAGGATGAAAGAAAAAAATAAGTTGAGGAATCAAATTCAAGAAATGCACTTCCACTAAGCATTCAAGTCATCTGATACCTTTGACTTTGACCTGGAACCGGCTGCACTCAGGACAGGGGAGAAGCGTGAACTCCTCTGCTTGGTACATGGAATAGTCGGTACTTGCCACCACAATCTGGTCTCCAGCTTTCCAGCTACTGACATCATCCAGCAAATGAAGTTTCACTCCACCTACAACCTCTACCCGGAATCCTGAAAGAGAAACTCCTAAACCCAAAAGAAAGTGACACATTAGCAAGATTTTCATTTTCCCTTACTTTTGTTTGTTTGTTTGTTTGTTTGTTTTGGCTTTTGAACCACACCTGAGAGTACTCAAGGGTTACTGGTTCTATACTTAGAAATTACTCCTGGGGGTGCTCAGGGACCATATGGGGTATCGGAGATTGAACCGAGGTTGGCCACATGCAAGGTCAGAGCTGTACTATCACTCCAGCCCCAGATTTTTGTTTTTCTTAAAAACCACCTACTTCACTGATTGACAAATCCAGATAAAAAATGAGCAGCCTTAAAAAAAAAGAAATTTAATTCTAATCCGGTTCCTGCCATCCTGTAAATACTAATAATAAAAAGATGAAAATAAATCCCTGGGGCTGGAGCAATAGCACAGCGAGTAGGGCGTTTGCCTTGCACGCGGCTGACCTAGGTTCGATTCCCAGCATCCCATATGGTCCCCTGAGCACCTCCAGGGGTAATTCCTGAGTGCAGAGCCAGGAGTAACCCCTGTGCATTGCCGGGTGTGACCCAAAAAGAAAAAAAAATAACAAAATAAAATAAATCCCTGTCCTTAATGATAAAGAGCCTCATGTATCCATCCGGGTCTATAACGTGATAAAAGACATCACTTCAAGGTACCAGAGACATAGTGCACGGGGTAAGACACTTCCCTTGCATTCAGCTGCCCCAGTTTGATCCCAACACCAAATATGATCCCCCAAGCATTGTCAGGAGCAATGATCCCTGCGCACAGAGCCAGGAGTAAGTCCCAATCAATACCAGAAGCAGATAAATAAAAGCCTGTCAGTATTGACTAAATTTCAGTAATCATTTATTTATTTTTTTAAGACAGTGCTCAATTCCCCTATCTCTTGCTATATATTATTTCAGTGCTATAATTCTAAGAGTACTTCCAAGCTCCCCCAAATGCAACAGGAACATGTCATACTCAAGCTGCCAAGACTGGAATAGATACAATGAATATCCAGCATACATATCCAGAATACAATGAATATCCAGCAAATCCAAGCATCAAGGAGGAGGTCGGTCATTAATACTCTTACTATTAAGAATAAAAGCTTACCCTAAGCAAACCTTCATTTCTATGCCTTTGATTATGTTTTAGTCTTTACCTAGCTTTCTTTCTACTCCAATTTATTAAGCAAGATACAATCCTCCTAAGTTCGGGAAAATTTCAAAGGACTTCCCACTATCTGTGCTGGAAGCAACCCCTCTCTCTTCACTTTTCTTATTCGGTTACATTTCATACCTTTCCAATGGGAGGACAGCTCACTCGCTTGCTATTCCTGTCGGGGAAATCAGTAGAGAACATCCCTCTGAGTACCCACTACTCTGTCTTCTTCCTATTTCAGACTCACAGATGTCTACTGAATGGATAAGCCTTGCCACCATGCCCTGGATTGCAATGTGACCCAAAGACCAAACGAAAATGTCCCTAGTCCAACTCAGCTCCTGTCCTGGGAAAAGACCACTTGTATCATTTAGGAACTACTAACTGCAAGTCCCCCCTAATATCCCTTTGTGAAATTCAAAGTTGGTTCATAATTTACACGGGCAAAAACTGAGCCAAACTTCTCCCTAACTTAACAGTTTTCTGCGTGCAATCAAGGATAGATGAGTCTACTATTTCTAAAATATGCATGATGTAATCTATCATAAACCACAGGGTGATTTACCAGAAGGGTTTACAAACAGATGGAAGCTACTTCATAACATCAAAGAAAATGGAAAAACATACCATAAAAATATCTGTTTACTAAATATCTAGACTTCTCTATTATCAAAAAGAGGGAAATTCAGGCATGGCACAAAAAAGATTATAACTATTCTTTTAATATTGTACCTAAAATCTTGATTTGACTATTCTTTTGATATTGTGCCTAACCTCTTAAAATCTGAGTGCACTTTGGATTCCATGTTTTTAATAATGATCTATGTAGCTTTCCACTTTTTAGAAAGTACAAAAAGAAAATACTTAATAAGTAAACATAAAGCAATTTTAGCTATTTTTTTTATCCAGATACTAAAGCTTATTGGTTTTTGTCCAAATAGTTAATAATTATCAGGGCTCGCCACAATGAAACAGAGAAACGATTGTGTTAGACATGGAAGGGGAAAAAGTCAGGGAGTATGAATAAAAATTTTAGAAGTATAGAGCTCTCAACTGAATGGTAATAAACTCTACCACCCAATTTTCTGACATATTACTTTACTCTACCAAGGATCAAAACAGGTAGGTTAAGAATAAAGATAGCAACATCAACAATGAAAACCAAATTTTCAGAATTTTACCACAAAATGATCTTTTAAACTGGTAAAAACAGATACTACATTTGATCTCAGCCAAAAGGCCAAGAAGCACAAAAAATGATCTTTTAAAGGACAGCAGAGAAATAATTTTTTTCATGTAAAATTTTAATATAAACAGGACCCCTCAAGCTAACCGTGACGTATTCAATATGCCAAACACAGTAACAACAAGCCTCACAATGGAGACGTTACTGGGTCCGCTCGAGCAAATAGACGAATAATGGGAGGACCGTGACCGTGACCACAAAAAGATGATCATAAGCAAAGATTTTTTAAAAACCAGTATAAACTTTTTAATCTTTTTCTTTTGGGGGTAGGGGGCAGAGGTTTTGAAAGGTATGGGCTCACATCAGGCAGTCAGTGTTCAGAAATCATTCCTGGCTCTGTGCTCAGGGGACCATACGTGGTACCAGGAATTCAAACTGGGGCCAGCTACACACAATCTCTGTGGCACCAGAACTAGGTAAGTACTGACCTGCAATACCATTACAATTTGTTTTTATGGTCTGTCATTGTTCTTTTAAGCCAGGCCTGTATTACTCAGTAATTCCTCACTTTTTTGACCCTAGATGAAAATCCTGATTAAAATTCCCTATTAGTTATTAATGAACTGAAGTGTGGAAGGAAGCACATCCTCCCTCCTTCCTGGAGAGAATTCCCATCACTTCCAGAAACAGTGAGAACATGAAGTATAAACAATGTTCTCCAACAGACAGCTAGTATGTACCCCCTTCCAGAAATGAGGAGTCATCAGTAATGTGGAAATAAAAACAAAAAAAATCACACAAAGGAAATGTTGACTCAATTTGTCAGCAATTATCCTCTGCCTGGAATCTTACGGGAGACCGTTTCACTGAACACTTCGTGCAAACCCAAATTCTGGCTGACCATTTCCCATCCACCTCTGTTTTTGACAGAGGCACCATAATCTGCAGAGAAAACAGGAGTCTTGGAGGCAGAAAACTCAGGTTTAATACCAAGTCTCCTCATCCATAACAAACACCATCTCGTCACCTCAAACCCTGAAGAAGCTTAAAGGAAGAAAGTCCCAGTGTTTTAAAGCAAACATGTTCTCTATAATTATAACCACACAAAATATATTATAACCTGACATAGCTACATCACTCTAAAATCAGTTAATATGTATTATGTGCTTACATATGCAGTGTGCTAAAATTGCCTACACACTGATACTCATAGCAGTCGTATATGGTAAATTCTATTAACTTCATTTTTTTTTTAGTTGGGGAAACTGAGGGCTAAATTAAAGCCACATGTTCATCATAATTAATACTCAAAATACAAGTATGGGATAGTCTTAAAAAAGCATATGTGGGAACAGAGTGCTCGTACAGCTGGTAGGACATTTGCCTTGCCCAGGTTTGATCCTTAGCACCTCATATGGTCCCCAAGCCCACCAGGAGTGACCCTTGAGCACAGAGCCAGCAATAAACCCTGAACGCACACAGGTGTGGTCCCAAAACACCAAAAATAAATAAATAAAGACAAGCATTTGTGAAACCGCAGATATAATAAGGTATCTTTTAATTATTCATTTCTCATCCATTTTGGTTCTGATATTTGTTTGGGGGAAAAAAAAAGCAGTAGGCAAACACAGGCAGAAGGCTGCCAATCCATCCCTGGAACCAAAAGATCTGGCGGCAAAGTGGGTAAGTGAAAATATTCTACAGCAAACATCCTTTCGAGAAAGCAGTCAAAAACACTCTAACACCCAGAGGTCCACATTATTTGACTAAATTATAGTTCTTCACAATGACGAATTACAATTTAAAAAATGATGTTAAAGAAAATGTAAAGAGAAATCATTTTACAACATGTTGAAACAAATAAACTGGATAAAACCAAATAAACATCAGGAAAGGGGACATATGATTTAAAATACTAGATTGCTATAATCCAAATAATAAGCTCTGAATAACTGGATTAACGATTAGTGTTTACTTTGTACTTTTTGGTGCTTCCCATCTGTAAGATACATTTGGAGACTGAGAGATAGTGTAGTGGGGAGGGCATTTGCCTTGCACAAGATCCAGGTTCAATTCCAGGCCCCACACATGGTCCCCTGAGCCTGTCCAGGAGTGATCCCTGAACTCTGTTATCACTATTATCCCAGGGGTCAGCCAGAAACACAGCCAGGTGTGACACAAAAACAAAAATAAATAAATAAACAACAACAAAAAGATACATTTTGATCTGATACAGCTGGATCATCAAGGGAAACCTACTGTTAAGAGTACAAGAGGTTTGGGGCTAGAGAAATTGCACAGTGGGTAGGGCGTTTGCCTTGCATGCGGCCGACCCAGGTTCGATTCCCAGCATCCCATATGGTCCCCTGAGCATCGCCAGGAGTAGTTCCTGAGTGCATGATCCAGGAGTAACCCCTGTGCATCGCCAGGTGTAACCCAAAAAGCAAAAAAAAAAAAAAAAAAAAAGGGTACAAGAGGTTTGTTACACAGCATATGTTCAAGAGGAATAATTGTGGGCGTGTCTACAATGAGAAAAGAAAATGCAAAGCAAAAAGATGATGTTCGCTGCCTCTGGGCACAGCACTCTGTCCCGGGTATGAGGAGAGACAAGGCCAGCCTATAATATCCATGTTGGTTCAATTGTTACTAGCCAGAGTGCGTAAATCCATTTCTATTCCTTAACAAGACTCCAAGATTAAAGGATCAAAACTAAAGGGTCTAACTGGGTTACCCCAACCAGAACAGATCATTCTCTGGGTCAGGAAAAATTTGAGTCCAGAAGATGAAGATCAGGAGCAAACATAAACTTCTCTTCAGCCTGACATGCAACCTGTTCAGACTGTCATTTGAACACAAAGCTACTTACCAAAAATATATATATATATCAGTCATCATACACACCCCTGTCTTACAAGAGCACACACTGCACATGCCTACCTTCAATCCACTCACTATATGCTGTCACAGCAAACTTCTGACCATCCACAGTAGAAAATTCTCTTTGGGCAAGAGCTTTTCCTCCGCTACTGTGATTTTCATAGTTCCTCACAGATTCAATGGACGACATAATTTTGTCATCAATGACACCAACCAAAGCCCAGGCTTGCCTGGAAGGAGAAAGAGCATATGCATTTATACATGTGCTGTGACTGACTCAAATTCCAGACACAGTTATGAGATCAGGTGCTTTTCAATTCTCAGATTTGACTGTGTGTGCCAAGACTGCATTTTCCTCTGAGGGAGGAAGTCCAAACCTTACCGTGAGGTAGCCATGTCATAGAAGAATATACACTTATACAACACATCCTTATTGTTCCAGCTCTGTGACTGGAAAAACACTGATGACGCTGGCCACCATTCATCAGTGAATCCCCCCAAACACACCCATGCCGTGCACAAATATTCCGGTCACATTATTTCCCTTCTTCTAAAATGATGATATCCTTAGTAATGATAGGGTAGCGGGTACATGAACATCAAGACTGGCTTAATGAGGCACACCTGAAACAGATACTATAATGTACAATAAACACTTTCCCTCAAAAAGCAGAAACAAATGATTATCGCATTTTCTATCACCTGCTCTTTTGTAAGGGGACCTGGGGGCTAGTTTTAAGGGTTGGGTAACATCTGACTGTGCTCAGAGATCACTCCTGGCACTGTGCTCATGGGACCACATGCAGTGCCAGGAATAGAACTGGAGTTGGCAGCTTGCAAGGCAAGTGCCTTAACCTCTACCTCTCCAGCCCTTCATCTGCCCTTTTCAACTTTCTGTTCTCCAATGTCCTCATGTCTAACTACACAGGGTCACATGGGGAGCTTCCGGAATATACTGATGCTCAATCCTAGTCCGGAATGGGACAATCATAATCTCTCCAGGTAGGTCAGGAATGCACATGTTTTCACAGAACAGCAATTCTCAACATCAGTCACCTGGAGTCCATCTCAAATCAGACTGCCATTCCCCACCCTCTAATATTTTTTTTCTTTTTGGGTCACACTCCGCAATGCTCAGGGGTTACTCCTAGCTCTGCACTCAAAAATTACTCTTGGCAGTGCTTGGGGAACCATACGGAATGCTGGGAATTGAACCCTGGTTGGCTGCGTGCAAGGCAAAAGCCCTACCCACTGTACTATCACTCCGTCCTCCACCCTCTAATTTTTAACATGCATTTGCTAGTACATGGAAAACATGGAGAGTATCATGATGAGTGACATTAGTCAGGAAAAGGACAGACGCAGAATAATCTCTCATCTGGGGAGATAAAGAAGCACAGTAAGGACAAAGACAACAAAAGCCTGAGAACTGGTCAACAGAACTGAGCTGACCATAGCGGGAGGAGGAAGGTTTGGGGAACACACTGGTGGGCAGTGTGGTGTTAGAACACTGTACATGGTGAAACCCTATCATGAACAGTATTGTAAGTCATGGTGTCCCAAAAATAAAAAATTAAGCCATAAATGTTAATACCAATGTAACCTATGTTAGCTAAACTACACTCCCTCCAAATTTGAAAATAAACAAAATAAACACTCGAGTTAAACTTTTAATTTAAAAAAATAATAATTTTGCATTTCTAAGCAAGTTTTAGCAGCATGAACCATGCTTCATAAATTCCTAAGTTTGAAGAGAAGTATCACACACCGCCCAGAAGTCCAACCTAACCTTTGGAGATCTTGGTATAAATATCTTGGATGTGTCCTGAGCACAAAGACATTTTTTAAATACCCAGGTTTGTGGGCAGAGTAAGAACTCTGGTTGTGGGGCTGGAGAGATAATACAGTGGGTAGGGGATTTGCCTTGCACGAGGTCGACCTGGGTTCAATTCCCAGCATTCCATATTGTCCCCCGAGAACTGCTACGAGTAAATCCTGAGTGCATAATACAGGAGTAAACCCTATGCAACGCCAGGTATGACCCAAAAAAGCAAAACAAAACAAACCAAAAAAACCCTCTGGTTGTGACTGGTTTTCAGGTACTCTTATTCACCATCTAACAAATTTTAAATTTTCCATGCTCTGTGTCAATCTGTCAAAAGCAATGTGTTTAAAAATGCTGTTGGATTTCTGTGATACACAACAAGTCAGGAACATGCTCAGGCTTATGCCAAATTGATCTAAAAAGAACAATAAAAGCCAGAAAATTTGCCTTAAGAACCCTCCTGCAAAGATAAAAAAGAAAGTGTCAACTTTCCACTCCAGAAAAAAATAAAATCTGTAATCTACACCGGACAGATGGTTGGATACTCACTGATAAAAGTCAACCAAAGCATTCCAACATCCTCATGAATTCCATACCCACCCCTGCATGGATTAGCTACTCTTTATCTGAGAATGCTTTATAGCTCTATTTATAATTTTACTCTTTTTTTGCTTTTTGGGTCACACCCGGCAATGCACAGGGGTTACTCCTAGCTCTACACTCAGGAATTACCCGTGGCGGTGCTCGGGGGACCCTATGGGATGCTGGGAATCCAACCCCGGTTGGCCGCGTGCAAGGCAAACGCCCTACCCGCTGTGCTATTGCTCCAGCCCCTATAATTTTTGATACAGCAGAAAGAATTCAAGAATGCCTCAATTTATTATCTACTTGAAAGAGGAGGGGAGAAAAATACCAGAGGCTTCGTTTATTTATCCAAACTGCCTCAGCAATTACAAAACAATGTTCTGTTCTACTGCCATTGCCCCCAAAATACTCCCACTTCCCTCCTCCACTTGTGGAAAAGTTCAGCACAGAACATTATCTTCAAGGGGGCATTTAAATTCATAGAGATATTATCAGAGCTGTGGAACTTTGGCAAAGGCTCACAACTCCAATTCCTCCATAAATCAGTGGCAATTATTTAAAGGAAATTTAGAAACCAGTAGGGAAAAGAACCAAAATCAAAACCCAAAAATTCCATAGTTGGGGGCCAGAGCAATAGTATAGCATGCGGCCAACCTGGGTTCAATCTCCAGCACCCCAGCGGGTCGTGCTCTGAGCACCACTGGGTGTGGTGCCAAAACCAAACAAACAAAAAAAAAAAACAGAAAAAAAGAAAAACAAGTAAAGGTCCAGTCCAGTCCTTCATTAATTGTGTCTAAACTTCTCTGGGATTTTTGTTACTGATATTCCATTTCAAATGCCATTGTTCATTGATTTTGTGAGACTTCTTGTTACTGTGTTTGGCATATCGGATATGTCATTAGGAAAAGTAATACTACTACTACTAATAATAATAATAATAGGGGCTGGAGCAATAGCACAACAGGTAGGGCGTTTGCCTTGCACGCGGCCGACCTGAGTTCAATTCCCAGCAACCCATGTGGTCCCCTGAGCGCCACCAGGAGTGATTCCTGAGTGCAGAGCCAGGAGTCACCCCTGTGCATTGCCGGGTGTGACCCAAAAAGCAAATAATAATCATTATAATCATAATCATAGTAGTAGTAGTAGTACTAGTAACAATAATAATAGGGTAGAGAAAAATCTCAAAGGCCTAGAGCATATGCTTTGTATGTAGAAGGTTCCGGATTCAATTCCTGGCACCAAGTGCGGTCTCCAGGCACAAGGAATGATCCCCAAGCCCCGAGCTAAAAGTAGCCCGTGAACCCTCAGGTGTGGCAATAAAGCAAATTTTTTAATAGAAAAAAAAGAGGGGCGTGGAAAGAACTAGACCACATCTCAATATGTGAGCTTTTAGGTCTTCACAGAGCAGATATTCCTTGACTCCACCAAGACAGCCATCAGAACTAAAGCTTCCTTTGTTTTTGTTTTTGTATTTTTTTTTTCAATTAAATGTTGAGCTAGTTACTTCCCAGACTCAGCAATGCAAGAGGAAATCCTCAACCTTTGGTATTAGGACACAAGAACCATAAATGGACAACTGAAGTCTGCTCTCAGGATAAACGTGCTGGCACTGCACCTTCCTCCTGCCCCACACGGACCCGCACCCAGCAATAAGCAGATTCAAATTCGAATTCATAGGCAGGTTCAGGAGATAGAACAGTGCTTGGGGCACTTGCCTGGTATGCTGCAGACCCAAGTTTGATTCCCAGCACCACTTGATACCCGGGATTCACTGGGTGTGCTCTGAAGTCCCCGGACACTGCCAGGGTGGCCTGGGTATCCCTGGCAGTCAGGGCCTGAGCAGCACCACATCCTCGGCCCTTGGGCTAAACCTGAGTGGGTAAGAATCACCAGTGGGGTTCTAGATGTCCTGAGCACCCCCACCCCATGGAAAAAAAAACACATTTACATGCAAAAGATGACAGAAACCAAAGAAAACTGGACATGATCCACCCCTCTCAGACTTGATAACTGATCCCTCTGCACAGAAGTGGGCCCTCACTTTTGGTCTCAGTGGCTGCCTTGTTGACCTTAAGAGTCACAGGATCTTCTGAAGACAGCAGAAGCCAAACCATTCTGTTGATTAATTTTCATAAGCCAAATGCTACAGGGCACAAGGGCTTCCACAAACCTAACCCCCAAAGCCCGATTCTCCACTAGTTTCCAGCTTCAGGTTTCAAATCAAGAGGGAACCAGTTCTCCCAGAAGGAGAGGGTCATTCGGATACCTGCACTAGGGTGCTGCGGTGAGGGCTGGTTCTACCTTCACCCACCCTCTGCTCTGACACCCACAGCCGTGAACAGGGAATGGGCAGGACAGGGCCAAGGGATGCCCACCTGTAGCCCAGGCCCTGGATCAGCCTACTGCCCAGGCGCTCCTGGATCATCTGGATGGTTCCTTGCAGGAGACTTTTGGCTGCGGAGTCTCCCACTGCGATAGCCACAATCCGTCCGGGATCCTGGACTCTGAGAAATTCTTCAAGTCGCCGGCTCTCATTGTGATACTCGTGAGTGTCGAACCTCAGGCTTTCCAAAACCTTGCCAGTGTGTTGGTCGATGAGCCGCACGTTGAGGCCCCTGGAAAAGTCCTTCTCAAAGACGTAAGACCCGAAGGTCAAACCTGAGGCAGGCAGCGTCCTGGCCAGCAACGTCCACGACGCCTTCCGCGCCCCATGCAGTTCCAGCGTCCCGCCAGCTTCCACACCAATAAATTTTTTGCCAAATGTTGGCATCTCTTCCCCTTCGTCTGACTTGCCGTACAAGGTGACTGTCGCTCTGGACTGGTAGCGGCATTTTTCTGCTCCAATATGAAGCGCCCCGCCATCCTTGATCAGGATGTATCGAGTCCTCAAGGTAATATTTCTGATTCTGTCTTTGTCATCCCCGAACACAAGCAGTCCTGCCGGAAACAACGGTGTGAGTGGACAGAAGTCATCTTTGGGAGAGACTTGGGAATAAGAGCCTCGAGATAGCATCAAAGATACTGACTGCCACAAAAATTAAAAACACAAGAATAGTATAAACAAGAATAGTAATTTTCCGAGTTTGCTAAGGAAATTAAAAGTGGACTTCAAAACCGAGAAAAGGAAGAGAGGAATTCGAATCAAAGCACACTGGAAATGCCCATATGGATGACTTTCAATCCATTCACTTAACAGGTAGATCACTTTCTAGAAAAAAATATCCAGAAGTCTACTAATCTGGATCTCACTTCTGTGTTAAATCTTTTATCCCTCCCCATGGCCGACCCGAGTTCGATTCCTCCGCCCCTCTTGGAGATCCCGGCAAGCTACTGATAGTATCTCGCCAACATGGCAAAGCCTGGCAAGCTACTCGTGACGTATTCAATATGCCAAACACAGTAACAAGTCTCACAATGTTACTGGGCCCGCTCGAGCAAATCTATGAACAATGGGAGGACCGTGACCATGACCATGATCCCTCGCCATAGTTTAGAACAAGGGTTTAGCTGTGACACTCCTAGTTCCAGGCAGCACCATATACTTAGACCTTAGCGCTGAACTATCAGTCGGGTTGGCTGAAAACTGCTGGGCATGGCCCCTGGGACTCCTTAGCAGTGCTTGGCAATCCCCTCCCCCCCCAAACAGGTTAATTTATAATAGGTCACCTTCCAGAACTCTGTCCGTAAATCAGGGTCTGAGTGATCAGTAGGCTCTTCCTGCTCTTGTGTCCTACAGTTCTACCTGAAGTGTCTCCGAGGTTAGAGTGACCAGATACTAAAGACCATGAGTCGTTTTCTCCATAAAGAACATCAATGGTTGGAGAGAGCACAGGGAAAAGGAATTTGTGCGACACCCTGGCTCCATCCCCAGCGCCATGTATGGTCCCTCCAGCATTACCAGGAGTGATTCCTTCAGCAGAGAATTGCGCGTAAGTCCTGGGGTTCTAGAGATGGGGCCCATCACTACTTACCTCCATCCTCGATAACTATAGAATACACTGTGGCATCTGAGGTCAGACGGAACAAATCTCCTTCTTTTATAACAACTTGTTTTGCAGAATCTTGTCCTGGATCCCAGTTCCTGAGACGGGGGTTCTGATCTGGGCAATTCTCTAAAACACAATGATACGCTTGATGTCCCATCAACTTAACAAAACACAGTGATCTTTAGCCAAACCCAAGCACTACTATTATTTATAATATCACTACTATTATTGTAATTAGAGGTAATGGCTGACACTTCAATAGCCTGCCATAAGGAGCGGATTCCCATTCCATCAACTCCTTTATTTCCACAGCAGCTTAAAGATTACACCACAAAATTAAATTGCTAACATCTAGTTCACCATAAAACTCTAGAAAGTTATAATAAAATTCCCCTGTATTATCTATTCTGAAAACTAATTAACAATAAGAGGCCAAACTGGGAATTGTCCTTCAATCCTTACTAGAGAGCTGTTTTAGAAAAGAAAATATATTTACAGTAGCACTGTAGCACTGTCCTCCCGTTGTTCATCGACTGGCTCGAGTGGGCCCAGTAATGTCTCCATCGTGAGACTTGTTGTTACTGTGTTTGACATACTGAATATGTCACGGGTAGCTTGCCAGGCTTTGCCATGCAGGCAAGATACTCTCGGTAGCTTGCCAGGCTCTCCAAGAGGGGCGGAGAAATCGAACCTGGGTTGGCCAGGCCGGCTGCGTGCAAGGCAAACGCCCTACCACTGTGCTATCGCTCCAGCCCATATTTACAGTGTAAATACAAAATTTTCTTTACAGGTAAACACAAATGGGAAATTATTAGGGGTGTGTCTGCTAGAACTTCTCAGGAATTTTCGCTGCACAGTGAGTTATGAAAATGCAGTAACAGCATCTCTTCCACTCCGGAGGTAGCTTATTACTTCGATGCATATTACTGTCCTCAGTCATGCACACTTTCTCAACAAAGCTGTAAGAGGCAAATGGCCAAAGACATAACTTCTCATTTTCAGAGATGAAGAAATAACAGGTTAGAAAGGCCAAAACCAAGATTACTCAACAAGTTGAATGATAAGGAAGTTCTCCTTTAAGAAATGACATATAGAAGTTATGAAATTTACATACAAGTGGTACTACATGGAAAGTATCATGTTAAGCGAAATGAGTCAGAAAGAGTGGGATAGACACAGAAAGATTGCATTCATCTGGGGAACATAAAGCAACAAAATGGGAGACTAACACCTAGGAATGGCTGAGATTAGTACCAGGAATTTTGCTCCATGACTTGAAGGCCAGCCACATGTGCTAGGTGAAAAGGAAGCTCAGATAGAGAAGAGAGCACCAAATAAAGGGTGTTGTGAGGATCCTCCCAGGGTGAGAGAGACATGCTAAAAGTAGTCTATAGACCAAACATGATTGCCACTCAATGCCTCTCTTGCAAAATACGGGACCCAAAAGAAGAGAGAGAGAACAAGGGGGAATGCCCTGCCACAGAGGCAGGGTGGGACGGGGGGGATGGGGGGTGGGAGGGATGCTGGGACCCGTGGTGGGGGAGGATGGGCACTGGTGGAGGGATGGGTACTTGATCATTGTATAACTGAAACCCAAGCACAAAAATTTGTAAGTCCATAACTGTACCTCATGGTGTTTCGCTAATAAAAAAAAAATGATTTAAAAAAAAAAAAAAGCTTGTAATGTCCACAACTGTATCTCATAGTGTTTCACTAATAAAAATTAAAAAAAAAAAAAAGAAATGACATATAGGGCTAGAGAGACTTGCCACGCACCTGGCCGACCCAGGTTCAATCCTTGGCACTTTGGTATCTTAATAACAAAGTTTTTTTAATTAATACAGTAATACAAGTATCCCATGCAATTCAACCCCACTTGGCTACTTAGAACAGCAATGAACAGGCAATACTTAAACTACAGGTGCTTGTGAATCCAATGAAGATGGGAGATACACATTAGGGAACAATATTAGAGAAAGTGAAGTGTGGGGCCAAAGAGAGAGTATAGCTGGTAGGGCATTCGCCTTGCACAGTTAACCTGGGTTAGATCCTTGGCACCACATATAGTCTCCAAGCTCACCAGGAGTGATCCCTAAGCACCACCAGAGGACAGAAGGAAACAAGGAAGGAAGGCAGAAAGGAAGAAAGGAAGGGAAGGAGGGAGGGAGGGCGTACAATCCCAATGAATTATATTATATGGAAAGAAAATTGCAGTTCCTCATTTTGAACTTGCATAACAATAAAGAAAGTGGTGCTAAGGGGTTATTTCGGCTCTGCAGAAAGGGATCATTCCTGACGGTGCTGGGTGTACCATATAAGGTGCCAGGAATCAAGTCCAGGTCAGCTGCGTACAAAGCAAACACCCGAGCCACTGTACTATCGCTCAGACCCAAGCATGCTTTTTCTTTTTAAGTTGATAACTACCAGGTCCTTTGGCAATCAGTTCATGGCATTAATATTTGTCATTGAAATGAACTCTGATAAATCATAATGCTTATACTAAGAATAACCCTTTAATTTGTATTCCCCTCAAAGAAACAAGAAATCTCCTGAATTTGTGCTAACTTAATGCTGAACATTTCTTGAACCTGTCTTCTGTCTCCCTCTCTTCCTATAATATATCTAGCTGGAATTTTCCATAATGGCCATCAGAAGCAAAAGTATGCCCCTAGTAACAAGCATGGTACCCAGCTAGAGATGGGAAATCCAGACTTTTAAAATGCCACATGTAATGTAAAATAATGTTCCAAGTTCAGAGTGGGGTCTACTGACCTGGTGCAGAAAAATATACAGATGAATAATCTCTATTCTCTTAGAAATATTGATATCAAAGGTCTGAGAGACAATATAGCATATTGGTTGTTTTTTTTAATTTTTATTAGTGAGACACCATGAGGTACAGTTGTAGACTTATAAATTTTGTGCTTGGGTTTCAATAATACAATGATCAAATACCCATCCCTCCACCAGTGCCCATTTCCCACCATCACGGATCCCAGTATCCCTCCCACCCCCCATTCCCCCCCAATAGAAATAGAAATAGACCCCCCATCCCTCCTTGCCTCTGTGGCAGGGCAATATAGCATGTTTCACACTTGCTTTGCATGCGGCCAACCTGGGTTCAATGCCCAGCACCCCATATGGTCTTCCAAGACCTGTCAGGAGTAATTCCTGAGCACAGACCTAGGAGTAAGCCCTGAGTTATAACAGGTATGGTTCGACCACCACACCCTCCAAAAAAAACTGGTAGTGGATTCATTTAACAATTGTCCTCATTCATAAGAACTTACACCTCATACTCATTTTACCTACACCTGGATGTTAGCCAGAGTTATTAACTTTTAAAAAAATAACAAGCTTTTGATTTTTTTTTTCCTTAATTTACTCTATTTCCTTCCCTGAGAAGAAAATACGTTCTAAATACACACGCACACTTACCATCTGGGGCATATTTTGAGGATATTCCTAAAATGACTGCAAGTGTAACAAAAAAGGAGAAACTGGTAATCGCAAAGCAAATGAAAGTATTTTTGTGCCTCTTCTGCTTCCGGCTGTCTCTCTGGGCTTGCTGTTCTTCGGGGGAGAAGGCAAAGGTGGCCCGGGCTTCCTGGCGGATGGAGGTAAACTTGGCCGCGGCGGGGCTCTTTGGAGGAGGAGGGGGGCGCAGCGGGACAACCTTCCCTGGAACATAGCCCGAAGAGCGATGGCTGTTTCCGTTCTGAGGCTGCACAAAAGCAGGGGAGTGGCCCCTGGAGCCAGTGGCATACATGATACACAGTCACTGCAAAAAGAAAAAAAAAATTGTTAGGATTTAGGAAAGTGAGGGTTTTTGTTTTTTGTTTTTTGCTTTTTGGGGGGTCACACCCGGCGATGCACAGGGGTTACTCCTGGCTCTGCACTTAGGAATCACTCCTGGCAGTGCTCAGGGGACCCTATGGGATGCTGCGAATCGAATCGAGCCCGGGTTGGCAGCATGCAAGCCCTACCCGCTGTGCTATTGCTCCAGCCCCCAGGAAAGTGAAGTTTTTTTTTACTGTGGTGAAATAGACCTACCCCCCCAAAAAAAATTTTTAAAGCAGATAGTGGCCTTAAGAACACTGATGGTGTGGGACAACTATCATCATTATCCATTTCTAGAACTTTTTCACCATCCCAAAGAGAAACTCTATGGACAGGAAGCAACAATTTCTCATCTTCCCATTCCCTGGGTCCCTGATAACTACTGTAAGGCTTTTTTTTTTAATTTTTTTTTATTAGTGAAACACCATGAGGTACAGTTATAGACTTACAAATTATGGTGCTTGGGTTTCAGTCACACAATGATCAAGTACCCATCCCTTCACCAGCGCCCATCCTCCACCACCACGGGTCCAAGCATCCCTCCCACCCCCCATTCCCCCATCCTCTGTGGCAGGGCATTCCCCCTTGTTCTCTCTCTCTCCTTTTGGGCCCTGTGGTTTGCAAGAGAGGCATTGAGTGGCAATCATGTTTGGTCTAGAATCTACTTTCAGCATGCTTCTCCCACCCTGGGAGGATCCTCCCAACACCCTGTATTTGGTGCTCCCTTCTCTATCTGAGCTTCCTTTTCCCCTAGCACGTGTGGCTGGCCTCCAAGTCATGGAGCAAAATTCCTGGTACTAATCTCAGACACTCCTGTAAAGCTTTTTTGATGCCACCAAGTTGGAGGCTGGAGGGACAGTGATACAGTGGGTAAGGCTTGCACATGCTGACACACAGGTTAAACTGGGTCAATCCCGGAGCCCTGCCATGGATATGGGGAGAAAGGGAGTCCTCTTCTTCACTGTTGGTGGGAATGTTGACTGGTCCAGCCTTTTTGGAAAACAATATGGGCATTCCTCAAAAAGCTAGAGATTGAGCTTCTGTATCTCCCAGCAATGTCACCTCTGGGGATATACCCTGAGAGCCCAAACACACAGCAAAAACACTATCTGTATCTATCTATATGTTCATTGTAGCTCTGTTCACAATAGCCAGAATCTGGAAACAACCCCAGTGCCCAAGAATATATGACTGTTTCAAGAAACTATGGTATATCTGCACAATAGAATATGATGCAGCTGTTAGAAAAAACGAAGTCACGAAATTTGCTTATACATGGATAGACATGGAGAATATCACGCTGAGTGAAATGAGTCAGAAAGAGAGGGACAGACATAGAATGATTAGATTCATTTGTGGTGGGACACACACACACACACACACACACACACACACAACAATATGAGACCAATACCCAAGGATAGTAGAAACTAAGGCCAGGAGGACAGGTCCACAGTTGGAAGCCTGCCTCAAAGGCTGGGGGAGAAGGCAGTTGGGATAGAGAAGGGACCACCATGACAAAAGGGAGTTGAAAATGGTAACTCTGGATAAGATCTGCATGTTGAAACAGTTAAAGGAACAAACATGATAACCTCTCAGTACCTGCATTGCAAACCATATTGCCCCAAAGTGAGGAGAGACAGAGACGGAGAAAGAGAGAGAGAGAGAGAGAGAGAGAGAGAGACAGAGACAGAGAGACAGAGAGACAGAGACCAAGAGACAGAGAGACAGAGAGAGAAAGAAGGAAAACGTGTACACTTGCAAAAGTACACTGGTGGAGGGATGGATACTGGAACACTGTATGACTGAAACCCAACCATGATCAGCTCTGTAACTCTGTATCTCACAGTGACTCAAAAAAAGAAAGAAAAAAGTCTTGAATAAAAGGAAAACTTTAGAAAGACACCTTCTCATCTCTTAGGCAAGTCCGAGAAAGACCACTCTGCCACACGGCATTCTTTTTGAGATGCCTGCAGGAAATGACATGGACTCCACGGCTTCAGAGACCTGATGTCCAACCTCTGCCATTTCTTCCCTCTGTAATAACCAGAGCATCTCCAAGCACCTGGCTTCATTCAATCCCCTTCTAACGAGTCCCCTCACCTTGTGCCAAAACAACGAATGAGGTCCTCATTGTGCAGGTACTTTGAAATCACTCTGAACAAATTCATTAAACACACAATGTGGTTATTAGACCAGCCATAAAAATTAGCACTCCCAGCAAACGACCTGGAAATAAATGGGGATGGAAAGGGAATCTAACGGGGCCTCTGGTGAGTTATTGTACAGGGGACAAAGAACAATCCAGAAGCAGTGTGTCTGTCAAAAAAAAAAAAACTTGGTTTGAGGGGGGATTATTTCTGCACAAAATCAATTATTTAGATGAGGCCTTGGCTTCCTGACAAAAAGAAAACAACATGATTCAAGGTGCTGCTGAAGAAAATTGTGACAAGTGCCAAGCAAGGCCAGAAACAATGAATGCGACCCGCTGGGACAAATGAGTGCAGATAAACAGAGACAGCTTTGTGATCTTCTAATAACAAAGAAAGGACTAAACTAAATATTAAGTGCCAGGCCCCTTAGGGCGGGAGGGAACTGTGTCTATAATCTGCTCTGGAAGGGAATGGGGATCTCTTGTTTGAAGCTGCAATACTGCATTGTTTCAGGGTGAGAAAGGTGGTTATTACTTAACTGATGGAAGGCCTCTTGTGGAAGATTATGCGGCTCCAGATGTACGCACAATAAGAGGCAGTAAGAGACTAACCGAAATCACCACCCCCAACCCCCCCGGAATAAATTGTGCCTTCACACTTGCAAAAACAGTATCCTCACAGGAAAACCTTAGATGGTCTGTCTGCGACCAATGAAAGTGGTCAATAAGTTAAAAAAGCAAAAACAAAATGAAAGGAAACAAAAAAACCCTCATGGCTGTGTTTCCCTCATAACCTTTTAATAAAACCATCTATTGAACCTGTTATCTCTAGTGAAGATGCAAATGCATAAGCATCAGTTACGTTCTTTGGTAAACGTATTTGCATTAGAAGCATTTAGCTGTGAACGGTATCTCAGGAAGGGAGGGGCCCACACCTTTGGTAACTATTCCACTAATATACTTGGAAAAACTTAAAGAGCATAGGCCTAAAATAGGCCATCACGGAAGATTTATATTGAAATTTCAGTAACATTAAAGGAGATCATGGTTGCTGGGTCTTTTGCTCTATATAAAGGGCAGAATTGTAAGAAATCCAACATGTGATCATTTAAAGTTTCTAGACACTGTGAAGGCCGAGCCGGTTCGATTCCTCCGCCCCTCTCAGAGAGCCCGACAAGCTACCGAGAGTACCTTGCCCACATGGCAAAGACTGCCAAGCTCCCCGTGACGTATTCGATATGCCAAACACAGTAACAACAAGTCTCACAATGGAGACGTTACTTGGCCTGCTCGAGCAAATTGCTGAACAATAGGAGGACAGTGCTACAGACACTGTGAAATCTCATCCATGACGTCTCTTCAAGATCTGCATGCAGTTCACAGGCTGTTCTTCCCTGTGCTCTATTTAAAACTGGTGTTTGGGGTCCAGAGCTATAGTACAGTGGGTAGAGTGCTGGCCTTGCATGCAGCCAAACTAGGTTTGATCCCTGGCACCACAAAAGCACCACCAGGAGTGATCCCAGAGTGCAGAGCCAGTGGTAAACCCTGAATATCCCTAGATATGGCCTCAAAACCCTCTCACCCTTCTATTTTTTTTTTCTTTTTGACAATTTTCAGTTTTAGTATTTGTCCATCTCCAACTACAGAGCAGGACAGTCTCATTCATTCATGACACTCTCACAGACTCTGAGTCACTGGAAGTCCTCACAAGTGCAGAAGAAGCTCTCTCTCTCTCTCTCTCTCTCTCTCTCTCACACACACACACACACACACACACACCAACAGTTTTTCATTTAATCTCTTTGCAACATTTTTGAAATCATTCAAATTTTTTTCTAATTTTATCAGGTGCCCTGAATTGGGAAAAATTCAGAACATTTACCACTTCAAAGCCAACTCATTTTGCAAAAAACACACCCTCCCCCCCCCCCCCCCCCCCCGTAATGCAACCTAGTGTGTGGCTAAGAGATTATGAACAACTGCGAATCCAAATCCTCAAGCAGCCAACTATCTAGATCAGTTCAATCTTCCATAATATACTGTAATAGTCTTAGCAGCACACTGCCAACGCCGTAGGCATATTGCAGTAGGAAAAAAGAAAAAGCCCTCTCCACTTTATGTGATTACATGATTATGCTGACAGCAAGTAAACATTAAACCAAAGGAAGTCTTCTCCACACAGAGCTAGCGTCAGTATCTCAAAACTAACAGCTCTTCCAGAGGACTCAGTGGACTTCCTACCCCTGAGATACCAACAAAGAGAGAGTCCTTTTCTGGAGGAAAGATGGGAGGGAGAAGCACAGTGTTTCACTGCAGGTTTCAATGTCAATGTCATCGAGGGCTAATATATGATGAGCCCCACAATTCAATCATACAAAACTGTTCAGGAAGAAATAAACTGAACTAGGTTAACTTGCTCCCCGTTATTTTCCTAACTGTCTGATCAATATTACCATGAAGACTTAATTTCTATGCACATTTTGAAAGATTTTTCAAAAGCAAGACTGGAGGAGGCTTTAATTGGCAGAGCACTGGACCTTGCAAGCCCCAGGCTGGTGAGACCATAAAATGCATCCTGGGCATCGTCCTACATGCCCTCGTGTAATGCGAGTGCTCTCCTGCTCGGGGTCTCTGACACGTGGAGTGGGATCCTAGCAAGCATGTGTGTGAAGCACAGTGACCAAGTATGTGACCAACACACCAAATATATGTGAGAGATGTGATCTCTAGACATCTCTGGGGAACAATTTTTTTCTTAAGTCAAAAGAAAGAGTCTGAGCTGGAGAAAC